GAGTCTCCTGGCCGGAACTCCACCGTGGGACCTGGAGGCGAGAGCCCTTGCAGCACTGTATCAGTGGCGCAAGGAGGCGCAGGAGTTGGGTCGATACCCCGAGATTCGAGAAATCGATGACCGGAAATCCCAACTCCGCCAGGTCATCATAGGGGAGTGGAGGGAACGACTCGGGCAACCGAGCGCCGGGCACGCCGTCATTGCGGCGGTAAGACCCGTTATGGAGGATTGGCTCGAGAGGCGTCACGGGACCCTCTCATACCGATTGACGCAGGTGATCACTGGGAAGGGATGTTTCGGAGATCACCTGTGTCTGATCCGCAAGGAGCCAACGCCTGAGTGCCACCACTGCGATGGCCAGACCGTGGACACGGCTCTCCACACGCTGGCAGAGTGAGCAGAGGCGAGACCTCGTGGCGGCCATCGGAGTGGGAGTTCTCTCGCTCGATAGCCTGATTGCGGCTATCGTGCGGAGCGAGAGTGCGTGGAACTCTGCCGTCTCCTTCTGCGAGCAAGTTATGCTCGCGAAGGAGACGGCGGAGCGGGACCGGGAGAGGTTTAGAACTCTCCCGGCCCGCCAGGCCCGGGCACGGGCCAGGCAGCGCAGGCGACTCAGGCGCCGGAGGTCGCAGAACGACCTCCGTCCTCCATAAGCGCAGGCCTGGGGGTGACAGGTGAGGCCATCTGTCACCCTAGCAGAAGCAGGCCGGGGTGGCGGCGAGCGCGTTGCGAAGCGCGCTCGCTTCCAGGGAGCACAGGGAACATGGGGTTCCCACACGGGGCGGGGGTCGTCTACTCGTCTGTAGATGACCCGAGGTATGTCGGGGCACCAGGGCCTTCCTTTCTAGGGTATACCTGGTTCCCCGGCTATTAGTACCCGGCGAAGGCGTGCGGTTTTAGTCGGTTCGAGTCCGACATGCCACCGACAGGTGGTATCCGAGGGGATTTCCGCACGGAAAAAAAAAAAAAAAAAAAAAAAAAAAAAAAAAAAAAAGAGGACAGGATAGCCGTGTCATACAACACTTGTAATGCTGTAATAATGTTGTAATGCTCTAATCTATCTATTTTTAATACATACATATATTACTCTAACTCAAAATACCTTTATTTCATAAAATTGTTTGAAATCGTCTTTTATGTAGACTTTAAAGTCATAGATCAACAGACACATAATAGCAACAATCTATGTTCTGTCAAATATTTAGCAAAATAAATATAATAAAAGTTATACCTATCGAAAATCTATTATATGCCTGTTCCGATTTATAACCGCCGCTTACTACTATCGCGTTCCATAATATACAATAAAGTTTACGGGGACTAACGCGCTCACGCCTCTCAGCCTGTGACCACAGCCAGTGCAACCTGGTCGAAATGTTAGGCATATCCTCAGCGCGTTAATTCCCGTAAACATAATTATATTTATGTGTGTATAACTGTTCTTTAGCAATTAACGACGATTTGAAAAGCTTCCTTTGAAAAGAAGTCCTAATATGATTCGTTCGAATACGTAAAAACTGAATTTGTAGCGTAATATTTAAACTGTTTTGTACTCTTTTCTTAAAGGTCGTATCGGTCCGGAAATAAAGTAGACGATAACTTAACCATTGTATTGTATCTATATCTAGTCTTTAAAATCACTTCTAACATCGAAGTTCATGTTAATAAATTACTAAATTAAAAACTCAAGCTATAATTCCTTTCTACGCTCAGGACAGTTCAGATTCAACTATTGTACGTACCGGAGTGTCTTAGATGATAGAGTTAGTCAAAGAATTATAACCTGATAGGTGTTTTAATCAACCCAAGTATTAGTAAGCTGGATCATAACGAGGTTTACCAGTGACATAAGCGATGAAAATTGACTTCCGAATCGGTCACCATATCAAACACATGCCTGTTTGACATACACTACACAGTCTGTATAGAAGATTGATGGAATAAGTGTATTTTTTCTGTTTTGAAACCTTAAACAGTGGCTCGTTTTTTCCTAAACCAAAAGTTTGCGCTGCACTCGAAATAATTTATTTTAGCAATAGAGCAATATAGTCATTACACAGAAGCTTTTTTTGTGGCGTGTAAACTTAACACGAACAAACTATATGTTTGTATAATGATCTACTTATGCATAAATAGTGTTGAACAAGCAGTTAAAAGTATGGCCTTTTTTTATTTTTTCACGCTTGGTATGCGGAAACGCAGGGCGTGTGTGGGACTCCCGGAGAACCGGTCTACCCACTAAACCCCGCGGTGACCTACCTCGGCAGTCGGGAGGAGCTCCAGGAATGCATCGGCGACTTCTGGAGTCCTCCCAGCCGTACCCTATTTCTAAGGCACATCCCGGGGCGACCGTAGTCACCCTGGGGCAGGTGTGTGTCTCACTGCTCTACAGAGTATAAGGCGCAACAGCGTCCCGCCTTAGACGACACCCCCCGGCCGCTCCGGAGTGTCATCTGTCTCGGGTCGTTTACAGCGGTCACATGGCCCTGAGATGTGGCCGCAGCGACCCTTAGGCGGTGATTGGGGAGTCAGCGACCTCTTCCGATCCCGCTCTGCGGCCTCCTTTTGGAGCATAACGTCCTCGCAGAGGGAGACCGCGGCTGCCCATCCCTCACCACTCGCGATCAATGCTGGCGGTGACAGGTTTCGTCCGATCTGTCCGACCAAGACTCGACGTTCGGACTCCCATGCACTGCAGTTCTCCAGTGTGTGCTGGGCGGAGTTCCGGTCGGACCCGCAATGGTGGCATTGTGCCGTAACCTTCCGTTCAGTTCGATTCAGATACTCACCGAAGCAACCGTGCCCGGTAAGCATCTGAGTCAGTCGGTAGGTGACACAGTCGTTCCTCCCTACTCACGCTTCGAAACTCTACAGAACGGCTCCGACGGCGCGTTGGCTAGCACAGCCCTGGATTTCAAGCCGTGCCTGCCTCGCCCGCAGAGCCTGCATATGCGCGTTCCGCTGTAGCATTCCGGGCTCATGATCCATCGCGGCCTCCTCACCATTCCGCCGACAGAGCGAACTTGGTCATAGACCATCGCGTCCATGTCGGTCAGAATGTCGAAGGGTGGATATTGCGCCAGGACCGTCGCCGCCTCAAACGAGATCGTACGATAGTCCCTTACGACCCGTATGGCCATCAACCGCTTCAGGATTCTGAGTAGAGTCTTACAGCGGGAAGCATCCGCCAAGTCATTAGACCAGACGGGTGCCCCATAGAGGCCCATGGATCGCACGATGCCAATGTAGAGACGGCAAACTTCTTCCCGTGGTCCCCCGAGATTGGGCAGCAGGCGATGCACTGGACAGGACACTCGGGGGACTAATCGCTCGAAATGCTCTTCGAAGCTCCACCGACTGTCCAGGATGAGGCCTAAGTACTTCATGTACCAGACCACCTGGACTTCAGCGTCACCCATCCGGAGGCATGAGCTGAGTGGTTCCTAGCGCTTACGTAGGCCATGGAACCATATTGCCTCAGTTTTCTGAAGCGTCACCCTCAGACCCAGTCAGCATAGCAGACGACACTAAGGCAAGAGGGCAGACTGGTGCGAAGGACCACATCATATATATATATAGACTGGCCTGTTGGACTAGTGGTTAGTGACCCTGACTGCTACGCCAGAGGTCGTGGATGCGATTCCCACCCAGAACAAATAATGTGTGATGAGCACGGTCATTTGTTCTGTGTCTGGGTGTACTTTATCTATAATATGTTAGTATTTAGAAATATATATGTATGTTTATGAGCAGTCTGGTTACCATAGTACAGGCTCTGCCTAGTTTGGGATCAGACCGCCGTGTGTGAGATGTGTGTGAAACATTTATTTATTTATTTAGTATGCGATGTTTCACAACAAAGGGCGTAAAACAGAGCCATGGGGAACCCTGCTCAAAAGCTATGGCCTACTGAATAGTCTTCAGAATAGGTTGTCTTTGCTTCCGTACTTATATCTGCTAGAGTTTTTATCCCAAAATAAAGTAGGTGTATTGTAAAGCATTAAAAGTGTAAAACCATATTGACATTTGGTGATTGTTCCTTCTTAGATATTCTTCTTTTCAATAAAACTTAAAATTTGTCAGTTTGTCCTAAAATGAATAATGTAAGGGTACATATACATACATACCTATAATCTAAAAATATTTATTTATTTAGTCCCGATCGCGTAAGCATTTTAGTATCGGTTTGTTCTTGGTACGAACATGAGTTTACAAATTAGGATTGGTCATCATTTTGTAAGCGTATTTTTCACGTGTGTTGGCATAGAGTATAGAGTTACGCGGTATGCCGGTTTCTGGACCACTTTTATGTCTTTCATCAACAGCCTTTAATAGTCCACTGCTGGACATAAGCCTCTCCTTAGAAAGGAGGTTTTGGCCTACTATACCACGCTGGCCAGACGGGTTGGTATAGGGTTTGTGTCAAGTTTTCCTTCTCTCTGCAGTGCTGTTGTTCCGCGTAGTTTTCTCCCTTAGTCGTCTCTTACGACACCCACGGGATGAATAGGGGTGGTGACACTCTGTATTCTTAATCCGTCACCACACGGTTTTATGTGTTTGTTTTTGCATATTTATACTTCATTACTCGGTGTTTTTTAATCATTTACTATGAATGGCGGCAGAATTCCAATTAAAATTTGTAAAAAACAGTAGGCATGCGAGTCTTATTATTGTATGTACATATATAGCTGTACCCTGTCTCTTTAAAGCGGGTTGTATACCTGTCAAAATTTAAGCTCAATTGGTGCAGAACTTTTGAAGTTATTTTAGGCGTGCACAAACCAACAACCTATTTTTAGATCTAGAGATTAATGATTAAACTTTAATTTTCTAATGTGAAATAGTTAACACTTTATTTTCGTGATATTCGTTAAGTAATTCAGTTTAATCAAGAGTTATTATAATGTAAATATATATATGAACGAATGGCAATGAAATTAATAAATTCCTATTCCCGGTAATGATATAATCTCAAGTAGTATTATTACTATTTGTTTCAGCACGAAAATGGACATGGGCCAAAGACCACTCGTTATTGTTCATCGACAACCCGGTGGGCACCGGATTCAGTTTCACGGACAGTCCAAAAGGATTCATACAAGATATGGCTACGGTAAGGCACACTATCAATAAAAAAAACTACTAGCACAAGTAACACGTACAAAATTAATTATTTTTAGTTGCAATTGCAAAAATGAGTAAAGGAGAGTTTTTATATCTTAAAGTTATGCCATTAACATTAAAATATGAGGTGTCAATGTCAGCGCAGTTAACAACAGAAGTATTAAAAATCACTCGCAACAAAAACGCGAGCTGCGTTGCGTAAATTTGTAGAACAGATAAATACTGAAAATTTTGAAATGAGTCATAAAATGTTTTATCTAAATTTGGGTCAAAATGATAATGTCATGGTAAGTTTGTATTGCGTAAATTTGTAGAACTGATAAAAATATTGAAAATTGTTTTAAGTTGTTAAATTTTACTGAAATTAACATTTTTCGACTGCCCACACCCAACCTAAACTTAGAATACCAATTTATAAATCACACAAATTGTTGTCCCATGAGGATCGAACCCGCAACACTCAGTGCTGTACCTAGGCAGCGGCGAAAGGTGACCGTTTAAACCACTACTCTATCCATGCAGTCGACTATGTTATTTTAATGTTATTGATTATTTTAATTATATGATAAAATACTCTATTGATACCTACCCACCTAATATACCATAATCACAACTATCTTCTCATTTTTACATTTTCACTTGTTGATGTTACTTCGTTCTTATGTTGTGGACGTGTATACCAAACTCATCTTTCAACAAAATAAGAAATTATGGACGACAGACATTTATGTAAGTTGTAAAACAAGCCTGCAGCCAGTTTGATAGTAACCGGTTACAGGCCTCTATACCACTCGGAGCTCCTTAAATCTGATTGAATATAAGAAAAGGAGCCAAGATCACTAACGACTTGACCAACAGGCTAGTCAAATATTATTATTTAATGTCAAACAAAAGTTATTTATATAATGTCAAACTGACATCTTTGCGAGTTCCTTTAAAACACAGACATTTTACTATTAAAATTAAATATTTAATTTACTGTATAAAAATGTTAATTAAGGTAAATTTACGCAATCACGTGATAGACTTCAGTCTGTGACCACGGCCAGTGCAATCGATCGAAACGTCAGGTCAACGGTAAAAACCTTAATCACGTTATACCCCGTTCATTAATAATAATGATATACTGTAATGAAATTTACTATTTTAATTTGTTTAAGAAAGATCCATCTCTTATCCAAATTCTGACATTTTGAAAGTGAGATTTTATATCGTGAAATGAAATTATTTACTTATCCAATGGCAATTTTCGAGTTGGCAATTCGATCTCGACAATTCGACAGCTTAAACTCGACAGCGTGTTTTAGTTGTCGAATAGTTAGGAAATAAGATTTTTTTACTTTTTACAAATAATTCTTACGGGCTATTTAGTACTAATACATATTATAATATAAAAATAAATCTATACCAACAATTATCAATGTTATTGCATACAAGAACATCTGTCATTGATACTTCTGTCAGCCATTTTTTTTTGCTTTTAAGTCATTGAAGCAGGTCTGAAAACAGCCGGGTTTGTATACATTCTGATTAGGTAAGTGTAACATACCTACTGCTAATCTTTTGTATGTGAAATATTTTATTACTTTGAAATACAATTTAAAAAAGTATTTTTTTGGAGTGCGATTTTGAGCGACAAGGAGATTTCAGGTTACGTTATGAATTTTCTGATAGTAATAAAACTGTGTTTCTATAACATACATTTTCGTATACGTATGTATGTAATACTCGTATCTATGTACATATCTGTTCCTCCTGTGATAAGTGATACAACTAAAAAATCAACACTTTACAGGAGAACAAAAGCAAGATTTAAAACATTCTAGTTCACGATATTAGTGGGATTTAAGGTTAAATTTGAGTACCTCACTGTACATATAATTTTTTGTGGTAAACATTAGTGTGCAGCAATCATTTTTAGAGGTTACAACTTGAAATACATCTAGGTTCACGACATTTAGCAAAATCCTGCCAGTTATATCACTTTACACAATATTATCTCCTTAACTATAGAAGTTAATCGAACGTAGTTAAACAAAAAAAAAACACCTTTTTTTTCTGAAAATTTATATGCAAAAATCACAAAAAAGGTACAACTCGACTTAAATCACTCATCACAGGAGGCGCAGTTATTAACTAAATCCTAATCCTCACTTATATCTACTTCACCTAAAAGTTGACTGGCAGAGAATGCTTCCAATATTATGTAACAAATTAAAAAAATATACAAATATTTTTATTTGTAACGATTTATGGTAATTATCATAATATTTCCTTGGACTTCAAAACGCAGCGATGCCTCGATCTTGACCTAGCTGCGAATCCAAACGAGCTTGTCTACCCTATGCCATCAACGCATACGAATACACCCGTATTTCAGACATACAGTTCGTAACGGGGCGATAGAAACCTAGAGCAAGTGATTGTGCTTGGGAACACCAAGGACCAAAGATAGCACGTTCGTGCACCAACAAAATGGATCGACCAAGTGAATGAACAATGGCCCTCCAATTTCTCAAAGGTCTTGAGAGATGCGCTGGACAGTAACCGGTGGAAATAGATTATCCACTTCTGATGTTGCCTTACAGCTGCTCAGACATGAGGGGCCAACCCCAGATAGAGGTAAAGATCATAATAGACTTTGTGAGTATAAAAGGTATGCTACTGACGTATTAATCAGGAAAACCATAGCGACAATGTCTTTCGACCCTTGAAATGATTCCAACCTCTTACTTGATTGCACGCAATTGATTACCAAGAGACAAACGAGGCAGTCAATGAATAATCGCTTGTATGATACAAATTAACACATTATTGATCATTTACATATTGTGTGTAGAAATTATAATTTCTACGAAAAACAACGATTAAATCGAATTAGATTGAACTCAAGGAAATATTGTTTGTTAAAATTAATGTCAGCGCTCACAGCTCCTGTCTAGGTCAGTGATAGGGCAATTGCCATTATTTACAGCTACAACGGGTATCAAGATGCATATTGCCACACATTTTCCTTAACAAATGCCAGATTGTTCTCATAGTCCGAGAGTAAATCACGAGCTGTCTTTGAAGCTCTTTCGCAATAAGTCCTAGCAGCGTTTGATAAAACATTACATTTACATTGGCTTGGTAACTTTACACATAATTATCCTTTGTAATATTATACGCATCTATAGTGTAATAAGTTTGTTTATTTGTTTCGTTTTCATATCTTAACCTTACTTAACTGATCTTTATAAAAAAATTGCATTCATATAGGAGTACACGGTATTTCATGTGGTGACGGATTAAGCATACGGAGTGTCACTACCCCTATTCATGCCGCGGATGTCATAAGAGCCGATTAAGGGAGCAGACTACGCGGTACGAGGGCTGCTATTTGTGTGTCCGGAACTGGCCAGTTACAGAACAATATTAGAATAGTAATTATAACATTTAAAAATGGAACTCTTTGGCTGAAGAATACAATTTGAGTACAATTTCTGAAAATTGCGTGGCTTTATCGTGCTATAATTTATTAAGATTTTTAGCGAGGGCTAACTAAAAAAACACTGCATCGATCAACTAAACAACAATCAACGGTTTGGGTGTTCTAAGATGAGCCGAACCCATCAAAAGTCATTCGTTCAAAAAGCACTTTGTATGGTCGCTTGTTTTTTTTTGGTATAAATGGACATGTGGCTACAGTGGCACTAGAGACTCGTAAAACGGTTAATTATGAATGGTACACGATCATTTGTTTGCCAGAAGTCTTTGAAGAAATAAGAAAGAATAACCGACAGAATCCTTCTTCATCATGATTCACAATGCTGGCTGCCTCACATCGGCCGAAACAATTTAGTATTTGGAAGATCAAAGGATCGAATTAACGGGAATTAACGGGACTTGGCCCCCAACGACTTCTATACATTCCCAACCGTAAAGAATAAATTACGTTGTCAACGTTTTTCGAGCCGTAAAGAGGCTGTTGATGCGTTCAATGACGTTTTGAAGATATGGATAAGATACATCAGAATGGCAAAAGTGCTACGAAAATTGGTTCCAATGTATGCAAAATTAACTACTTTTGTAAATAGGCTGTAATAGTTAACTAGCGTTAAGTAATGGTAGACTTGTCAACCTTGTAATTTTTATCGATCTCACATCCGTGTTCCTATCTACTAGGTTTTAAATATTATTAGGCTACGACAATATTCTGTGCTTGATTTTTTAACAGTAATAATAAAATAGAACAACGAAATCATTGACCTACACACGTAACCTACATTGAAAATTATTGTTGTAAGCAAAATTTAATTTCGGTACAAATGCAATTCACTCTAAGCTCTAATTATATGTACCTATGTAATGGTTATTAATAATAACCAGATATTTACTATAATAATAACCGATAGATACTATAATAAATCTTCATATTCCTAATTACCATTTTTTCATAAATATACAATATATGGCTATAAGTTACAATACAACCACCCCTTAACTTTTTTAACGTTAGACGTTAGACAGAAACATGAAACGAATTTAGTGGTATAGTAGGCCAAACCCCCTTTCTAAGGCCTAAGTCCAGCAGTGGACTATCAAAGGCAAATGTCACAAAATAAAATTGTGTGACAGTAACAAAACACCTAGCGACGCAGAGTCGGTCAGAGATTTTATTACTAACGCTAACTAAATTGCTTTGCACTTTAATAAAACAACTTTTCTAGTCTTCTTCTTGTCCTAATGGCGTAGTGGTTTAAGCGGTCACCACGTCGCTTATTACTTTGTGTGATCCACGAATTGTTGTTCTGAGTCTCTTGTTCTTTATGTCCGTTTCATGTATGTTTGTAAAGTCCCCCGCGACACAGGATATAATCCTAATGCTGGCGTTGTCTTTTTGTAAAAATAAAAAAACTGTTATATTTATTAGCGATAAAGCACAGTTTATCGCCAATTTTATTGGCGATAAACTGTGCTTTATCGGATTGGATAAATTTATTATTGTATTTTTTACAAAACGTTTTGTAGTTCGAATTTATTGTATTACCTATTATCTATTCAACTCAGTCTAGTACATGTATGTTCATCATTTTACAGTGTACGCTATTTATTTTACCACCCACCCTTTCTGATAATACAAATTTAACTACGCACGAATTTAATTACTGTACATAAAACAGGTTATCAGTTAACGAATGGATATACTAATTATGTTGTTATGTTATGTCACAAAAAATGACTATATTGTAGCACAGAATACAATGTAATACAGCAAAGTCATTCTCACGCATAGGTTTGGTTTGCAAAGATTGTCATCAAACAGCTGAGATTCTGGGACTCCTAGAGAAATGTAAGTTAGTTCTATTGTGTGTGAATTTAGATCAGTCAGAATAAACAACAGTTTCCATCACATGGAAAATCTGACTTGGGGCGTACGTAATCCAACTTGTCACTTGTAGAAAAACTAGCGATGCGTATTCTTAACGCGCTAGGAGAGGTTGGCGAGGCAAGCCATCGAAGCTCCTTCCAGAAGCGCAAAAGGCTCCTGGGACGTTCACAGGCTTTTAGGAGCGATTTCGTACCAGGTATAATACTTGCCCATTGTGTGACCACTCCCTCGTATTCCAGGATTACGTGGGCAGCCATTTCTTCTGCTTTTAGGCATCCTCTGCACAGATAACTGTCCTTCGCAGTGATGTTGAATAGTTGTCGGTTAAGGGGTAAGTGTAGTTCCTGCAACTATTCGGATATCCAGTCTGCTAAGACTAATCAGTCTGCAAGTAAGTTGTGGTGGGACTTCAATCAGCACCAGTTAGAACTGTTTCTGGGTGAGTTTTTACCCCTTCGTCGTGCGCATCACGAGTAACTGTTCGAAGTTAATTAAAAGGCAGTGGCAGGAGTGTGATTTGGCCCACCGGCCAAATCACACTCCTGCCACTGCCTTTTAATTAACTTCTCTGGCCTGGGTTGCCGAGCCCCTCCTTACAAGCTCATCTGCGAATTCATTCTGTCATTCCCGTGTGAATAACTGTGCCTTTTAATCCATTGGAGGAGTACCCCATTTGTTGTGGTAAGCTCCATTGCTTGAGTGCATTCGAAGACAATACCAGAGGTCATTGTGTTGCCCTACAGTGCCTTTAGGACGTCCATGCTGTCTAAAAGTATTCGGGTGTTAAAGTCCTTAATACCCTTTGAAATGGCCGTTGTGGCGGCGTAAGTTATTGTCACACATTCGCATTGGATTATGAAACTGTGTTGGCCTAACGCTAGCGATATGTTTATGTTTAGGTTTTGTGAAAAAACTCCGGCTCCAGTTCCTGACCCAGTCTTGGAACCGTCTGTGTAAATTCGGACTTCGTTTAGGCCAGATTGATCTCGGTACTTTTCGTGTGTCTAAATGTGGTATCTCTTTGTGAAGATGTGATGTTTTGGGATCCTGTCACCTGGGGCTGCTATTAGTGGTTCGTATTCCACTAATTGATCCCATAATTTGGAGGGCGATCCCTTGCCTTGGTGCCACAAACCCAGGTGTCTGAGTCTAATGATTGCCATGGCTGCCTCCTGCTGTATGAACCAGTCCAGTGGGGGGCAGATCAAGAGCCACCTCTAGTGCGGCAGTTGGCGTTGTGCACATAGTGACCGCAGAGTATGGGAGTCGTTAGAATTGCTGCAATCTAATTATGACGGTGCTTAGACCTGTTCCCTGCCACCAGGCAACGACACCGTACGTGCTTATTGGTCGTATGACTGTTCTGTAAAGGCATAGTGTGATCTTTGGTGATAGTCCACAGCTTTTGCCGAGTAGCCATTGTCTTCTGCCATTGCAACCTTGAAATAGTTTAGGAAGTTTGAGATTTCCTAGACTACGTTTGTTTGTCAACATGATCATCTCTGTTTTTGATGGGTTCACTGTCTGGCAGTGGCGGTGCCGGTAGCTAATTAAATGTACATACACATTCGATCACTGTGAAACTCATAATAAAGTCTGTGTGACTTTATTATGAGTTACAGAGATATCGTTGAGTATACAAAACCAATTACTGAAAATTTCTTATCGGCTGAAAATTTCTTTCTTTTTATTCGTATTAATTCGCAAACGATCAAAAACGTTGTCTTACGTTGCCATGTTATTACACGTGTGCAAATTGTATTAATAGGTGTAAATACGTTCGGATACGTTTAAAAACTGATAAAATCTTTTTTTTTTGCAGTGTTCGACCCACCTGTATATTGCCCTACGACAGTTTTTAATGGTATTTCCCGAGCTCCGTAAAGCACCATTTTACCTCGCAGGAGAGTCTTATGCAGGAAGATACATCCCAGCTCTTGGAGTTAAGATCCTGGAGCAAGATCGAACCATCGGCATTCTAGATGTTAATTTACAGGTAAAATTTTGTTTACATCAGTCACGGATTATATTAATATTTTTGATTGATAAACATATAAGTGAAATGATATCGTTTTCATCTGCCCTCTTTTATTTATCTCTGCTCATTTAAATTATATCTTTTTTAATTTTCATTATCCATACTTTCAATGCTTAGGTTTGTTTTATGATATTGAGGGGGCAAACAAGCAGACGGTATACCTGAAGGCCAATTCTCGTAATAACAGTGCGGTCTCATTTCAGTTCCGATCAACTTACGATCTCACAACTGTCATGAAAGATGTTTTCGTAGTAAAATAGTAAAGTATTACTAAGGGTCTTAGATTACCGCTTCAATTTCAAGTTACAATACGATTTAATCACATAACAGTCAACGTTGGATGTTTAATACTTTATTACGAAAATAACTTTTATGAAAGATGTGAGATGGAGAGTTGATCTGAACTGAATTGAGGCCGAACGTTTATTACGTGCGTTGGCCTTCTGGTGGTAACTGACTACCGCCGCCTATGGACATCTTCTCTCTGGACTTACAAGTGCGAAACCTTTTGAGTCCCTACGCTCAGATTCAGTTTGGGAGGGCTCTGGTAACCCTAAGTCAAAAAAAGCAAAAAAAAAATGGCTTAACACTTGTTAAGTCTGTGAGGCCGTGGTATTACTCCGGTCGAGGTAGTTAAATTTGTAGTTAGAACTTTTAGTACGTTAATTTGAATCTTAATGACATACGAGTACGATAAAATTTACTGCATTACGTTATTTCACAAAGTGAAATACCGGTTGCCATACGAACAACTGTGGCAATCGTTACGGGTAGTTGGATCCCTAAAAAAAACTTTCTACAGAACTTCGATATCGCCTACTTGGGTTGTGGAGGTCTGATGGCAGCCGCTTCGCGTAAAAAATCAAAGTGCCGCCGTATCGTAGTAGACAAGTCTATCCCAACCTAGATTGGGAAAAAGCCTAGGTGGAAGACATTATTTCACAAGTATTATTAAATTATCTGATGATATTAAAGAGTGGCTGTAGTTTGTTCCATCGATTTCTTCTCACAAGGCTCAACTACCTCGAAACAGGCGGTTTTCAGATCTTACTTATTTTGCAACACGTAAACATTTTTTTTTACTTTCAAATTCAGTTACTTTATTTTATTTACTACTCTATTTTAATTATTTTATTCGACAATACTATTTGTTTGTCTGTTAATTGTTGTAGTAACAATATGTTAATCTATATTTTTTAGAAAAAAAAAACTATTTCGAGTGTTTTTAATTAATTATATTCTAGAGAAATTTGACTTTGACATACTTTTGTAATATAAGACATTGAAACGCGAGTTTGTCTTAAATAGCATTTTATAAATACTAATGTAAGTTATCAAGATTTAAAAAATCTCATATTTCGTGAACGACTAATTACTACTAAATATTTACGTACCCCTCTGTTACTACAATAAAATACACTGTTTAGGTACAAATTGCAGTGTCAAATGTGATCCAATTTGAGCGAAATTAAATGAAGAATATAGCAAACTAATAGTTTAGAATTATTTGAAAAAATTACCGTTTCCCCATTTCATTTATCTCCAAAACCGCTGAGCCTGATATTTTGAAAAAAAAAAAAACTTCTTATTATAAAAGATTATAGGAAAGAAGTGTGGAGGCAACTTTTGTAGTTGGAATGAATGGAAGAACATGCTTTTCAAGTATTTGATATTTACATAAACAAGATTAAAACATATGAGCGAGTTTATACAGACCTCATTAGACGTTCAGTATCTGATAAGAGATCTAGATATTCAAGTAGCTCTTACAAAATTAAAGGATTACCTGAAGTCACAAGGTCCGGGCCCTGCCCGGAGTAGGGCGCCTAAGGCCGGCTTTCGGGATAGTATTTAGTGGAAACACCACATACTGATGGTCAGTGGTGGTGCCTCCCGGGAGCCGGAGGTCCAAAGGAATTTACCACGTTTATGTGACGATTCAAAGGTCAATGGACGAAGTATGTTGTAATGTAGAAAATGTCACACCGACGAATACATGTCAACCGCAACCGCGCGTCTTCTATCTGCATTATCGTCTTCTTTAGTATGTAAATATTTTTGTTCAAATCTATAACCTTCATGCATAAGTTGACCGATATAATTATACATCCGATTCATATTAATGAACAAAAATATTAAAATATACATATGATCGACAAACAAGGTCATATCAATAGTCATTTTGTGAATCGGATCCGTGAAATAGCTCCTAATAATATGGATGTGCAAATTGTTCGCTGCTCTAAACTATAATTTAAATGGTTTGTGCCATAATGTGTGTATTCAGATTACGAGTACTTGGCTCTATAATCTCACTCTACTTTCATAACTGGTTAAAACTAAAATTCATTTTTAAAAAAGGATTTCCTATTTATCTTAATAAGGTTGTATTTTTCTTTTTTTGTTGCCTCAGAACTCTGTCATTTTCTTTTTCTTTTTTTTTTTTTTTTCTTAAAAAAGACAACTCCCGCATTAGGAATATATCCTGTGTCGCGGGGGACTTTACAAACATACATGAAACGGACACAAAGAACACCCAGACTCAGAACAACAATTTGTGGATCACACAAAGTGTCGTCCCATGTGGGGTTTGAACCCACAACACTCGGCGTGGTAGGAAGCGGCGTGGCGACCGCTTAAACCACTACGCCATCCGTGCAGCATTAATGAACCGATTTGAAAAAATATTTTTTTATTTAGGAGTGTATACTTTCGTTTGGTCCCATTCAAATTAAAAATATTCTTACTTCAAGGATAGAAAGTTAAGACATGACGTAAAAATCCAGTTAAGTACAATACCTTTAAAAGTCAGTGATATTTGCTTTAAAGTTATTTACTATTGTAATTGTTTACTTGTTTAACACAGTTATTAAACTCGAGAACTATCAGCCAAAATCGAATAATTTATTTCTGTTTTGAATAGGGTTTTCAATTAGGAAGGTTCTAAGCTATGTAACAGGCAGGCAAAAAATAAATGAAGAGACGTCATTAGCCGTCTACCAAAATTCTTAAAAATATGAAACAATGTGAATTAAACAGTAAACAGTTCTTCGTTTCTGTATTTGTGTGTGTCTGTATGGGTGCGTTTCGCGATCATCAACCTTCAGAGGTCTTCACTATGCAAGGTTATCGGTTATTCTAAAATTTACTAATTGCGCTTAGGTATGTCTAAATTGTTTTTAATGAATAGCCGAGTTAAACAAATTAATGTTTTATAATGAAACTTCAAATGAACCCAAGCGTTTAGGTGGATAGATTAACTAGAATATGCACTTTTGTTAGCTATTTGTTTTCGCTTTTCATAATGTATTTTATTGTCTTACATTGTATACATACTTTTACCCGCACATTCGCTGGCGTAACTAAATGTGGGTTACCCAATCAATTACTACTTGATAAATGGCCCGTGTGTTTTTCCAGACTATAATCTGAATTAATCTGTCTCTGTGACAATTAATTTAATCCAGATCTGTTAAGCCTTGATTGAATAAAAAACATCACTACGTCCATCCTCATAAATTTTCTATAATATTAATGGGATTTAAGTTTTAAAATAAATATGTTGTTAGAATTTATGTGTATAATTTTATGTTATAAAAAACCTGTTATCATAATCATTCTAAATTGGAACACATATGTTGTGACAATGTTTTGACCTAGCTAGCCATCAAGTCTATAAGCTGTAACAGGGTCACCTCTGTAGGGTATCCATCCGTTTTTGATACCTTAAAACTTGAAAACTTAACTAATATATTGCAGCAAGTTTGGAACTTAGATAAATTAAGAAAGAAAAGTCCCGCTTGTAGTGAAGAGAGATTGAGAATGAGACATTCGATGTGTTCGGATCAGGCATTCTGTAGTGCAATGTTTAAACGAACTGCTGCTCACTCTACTGGTGAAGTTTATTCTGGAAAAGCTAACCAAAAGCTTAAACACAAAATTTTGACGTGGCCTTATTGTACTAAGAGTTGTACTATTTTTTTTATTTTTTTTTTAACGTGTGGAAATCCCCTCGGACCGTCAACCCACCGGTGTTTGCGGCGGGGTGGTGTGTCGGACTCGAACCGACTAAAACCACACGGTGTGCCCTCTTTGCGCTTCCAGTTTAGGAGGGGTCCAGGTAGTTATCGCCTTCTGGACCCCTCCTAGCGCCGGCCCGCTCCTATTGCGGGCCCCGTCTCAAAATTTTCCTCTCTTTAGGCGACGTCCGGCACACGCGGACGCCGCCCCCTCGCGGCTGGCCAAACTAATGCGGGTGGAGGGGAAACCCACCCCGTCCACCCGCGGCCACACTCAGGGCGGCATGAGGCGCAGGTAAGCGCGCCTCCGCCGCCCGGTTCGCCGGCGGCGGATCAGGTCCGAGTGGAGGTCGTCCTCCCGGGCCTTCTCCGCCGCCTCCTTTTGCGAGATTACCTCCTCGCAGAAGGTTGCGACCGCGGTAAAACAACTGTCGCTACCGGCCATGGAGCGAATTACGGCCGGTAGCGAGAGATCTGCTCCGATGACTGCAGTGAGGGCCCGGCGCTGCGTCGCCCATGCGGGGCAGACCGCCAGCGTGTGCTGGGCCGAGTCCTCACTGCAGTCGCAGTGGTGGCAGGCGGGACTCAGTTCCCTCCTAGCGACCGAGTGCAGGTACTCTAATCTAACATCACTAAGAGTTGTACTACTCTAACCTCGTCAAAATTTTGACAGCCAAGACAGGTTGCTTCACATGATTCTGCCACGGCAATTGAGTTGCAGGAATAGGTGTTTTGTAGTCAAATTTTCATTTTATTTGGTTATTTTATCCAAAGTAAAAGCCTATGTCTTTATTAATGGTCAATCTAAAATTAATATTTATAGTTGATACAATTTATAACATGGAGGCAATTTTATTCGTAACCATATTTGGATTAAACCTGAGTGGAACACACTATCGGGTGTGATTAGATAAAAAATATCGCAGTACAATATGCTAAATGGAAGTATTAGAATCTTTGCTCTTTTTGAGAACTTTGAGAGGATATATTGGTGCTAATATTCTGTGGAAACATCAGTGGTCTGCGTGTATTTTCGTTTTCCTTCTGATGAGAATAGGATAAAGGGGAGAAACGGTGAAGAAATTATTTATTTTCATCTGTATCATCAACAGCCTATAACAGTCCACTGCTAGACATAGGCCTCTCCTTAGAAAGGAGGTTATGGCCTACTATACCACTTTGGCCAGACGGGTTGGTATAGGGTTTGTTTCAAGTTTTCCTTCTCTTTGCAGTGCTGTTGTCCTGCGTAGTTTTTGCCCTTAGTCGGCTCTTACGACACCCACGGGATGAATGGGGGTGGTGACATTACGTATTCTTATTCCGTCACCACACGGACAGCATTCATCTGTATAGACTGTTTTTAACTTTGTGTGGATCAGTACATACTGATACATTCGTACGTAAACTTCGGTTTACAACTAATCGTAACTGTATTCTGGTGAAGTAATCTATACTAATATAAGAAAGCTGAAGAGTTTGTTTGTTTGCTTAAACGCACTAATATTAGGAACTACTGGTTCGCATTAAAAAAATATTTTAGTGTTGGATAGCACATTTATTGAGGTAAGTATCAATCAAAATGTTGCAAAAACAGGGAAAATTTATTCCTTTCTAGGGACACAGACAAAGTTGCGCAGCTAGTTATAATATAATAGTAATCTAAAACCGTTTCGTACATACATACCTACACTAAACTTAGAACCAGTTACCGGGTACTTGTCATATTTGACATATGATTTAGTTTGAAGTAGGTAGCTACTTATAACGTGTTGACTTTTAAACAGCACTTGAATAAAAAAAATAATTATATAATGTTCTATCAAACACTCAGTAGGAGTGGTGCGTATCTCACCTACAAAAACAATTTCAACTGGTGTCTATATTGGAGGGACATCATACCCATTCCACCACTGTTGGAAGGTTATCTTTTATCGATACATTTTTTTTATCGTATAGGGCACTCAACCACTGTGCGTTTTTAAGACACTTTTTGCCTCGCGCAACTAATCTGAGGAACAAATTATTGTCTGCGGTATTCCCGGACCGATACGACCTCCAACTCCTTAAGTACAGAGCAGTACAGAGGGTACTCCTTTCTCAAAGGCCGGAAATGCGCTTGAGACTCCTGAGTTGTGTCCCGAGCAGAGTGACCCGTCTGCTCGTTTGCTCCCTCTTTCATAAAAAAAACGAGTTGACGAGTCTTCTGATGGTAAATGATTACCTGCAACGACCCCCCAAGAGAGATTTGGAGGTGGGGGAAGGGTCCTCCGGTTACCTAGACCTAATTTAATCTTTGAAAAGTAATAAATTGATTGTTTAACATCGCCAAGGTTCTGTAAAGTCGTGGTATCCACTGCAATCTAGTCGAATAACAATCTAATTATTATCCTGAACATCACATCAACAGCCTTTAATAGTCCACTGCTGGACATAGGCCACTCCTTAGAAAGGAGGTTTTGGCTTAGTTTACCACGCTGGGCAAACGGTTTGGTATAGGGTTTGTGTCAAAATTTCCTTCTCTTTGCAGTGCTCTTTTTCATTTGAGCAAACAACGCGGGGCAACAGACTAAAGAGTCGGCACTTAGGATACCCACGGGATGAATAGGGGTGGTGATGATTAATCCGTCACCACACGGATAATTATTCTGAACATTGTATGGCTAACAAGCCTTTCAATTAAGGTACCCATATTTCGAAGGTAGTTAAAAATGCAATTAGCACACGAATAATACACGGTTTTGCTTATTTCAGGGTATAATCTTAGGAAATCCTGTTTTAAGTCGCGAGAGCATAGCTGACTATAGCAGCATCTACTTCCAGTGGGGACTGGTGGACAGTCAAGGCGTTCTCGCTGTCAAGCCCCTGCAGGACGCCTACAATAAAGCTTTAAAGAATGATGACTCCGACAAAGCTATGCTCGTAAGTAAGAATTTACGTCATAAGAATACGCAAATGGTAATCGAGTTATTAATAATAAACTTATTTTTTTAAAGGACTTTTCCTTACCGACCGTTAAACTTAGGATACAAGGAGTGTTAGTTATAACTTAATAATAAACATCCTAAGTTTGTTGTAAAAAAACTAGAGTTTTAAATCACCAGAAATTGTCAGTTTTATACCAAAAGCCAAGTGTACAAACCTTTTTTTGACTTAAGGAGTTTGTGTTGTAGCAATACATTTAAGGCAAGAATTATTAACAAAATAATTAATTAAATTGAAGATCTTATAAAAATACGTTATTAAAATCTGCTCACTTTTAATCATCTTTTTTAATTAATAAATAATTTAGTGGTTATTTTAAACTTTGTCGTTTCTTTGTTCATGTAAAAGACATATTACTAATCACGCTTATTTTCTTCCAGTTCCTAAATTTACTTCTAGTTAAAACGAGCAAACACAAACTATTAAGCGCAGTTAAAAATATATTTTTTATACTTTTGAACATAACTCTAAGAATTATATTGGTTGATGTCTAAAGATTCATTGATTTATTAAAGCTTCGTGAAGAACTTCTCACGAGACTTGACGACATATCGATGCAGCAACAAACTTTCAACATTCTGAGTGACAATATCTCCCACCTGGACGAGTTCACTGTCTACTTACGCCAACCAATTGTAAGGCAAGCTCTGCACGTTGGCGACATAAAGTTCAACTTCTTCAATAGCACTGTGCACAAGAGTCTTACTCCAGACTTCCTAAGCGAAATTAAGTCCAAGGTTGAAATGATGTTGAATCATTATAAAATGCTCATTTATTGGTAAGTCTATTAAGTCTCAAAGTTATTATTATTTAATTTATATATGAAAATATTAAGTTTAAAAACTCATTAAATTTCGTCACTTTTTAAACTTCTTCACACTGCTGTTTCATGTTGGGTATTGGTGTGTGCATATCATATTAATCACTTGGTTCATAACAGTGACCTGTCAAGTCAAGTTTTTTTTATTTAAACTTTAAATATTTGGCATCATAAATATTATTATCAGAGAAATTTTGAAACTATGTTCTGCAGTTTTTTTGTGTTACTATATTTTTACTTATATAGTAGGCCAAAACCTCCTTTCTAAGGAGAGGCCTATGTCCAGTAGTGGACTATTAAAGGCTGTTGATGTGATGATGATGTGATGATGACTAAATTTTTAAAAATGGATTGCACCAAAGACTGAAGATGAATTAATATAATTAGGAATTGATTGAATTTCAGTGGCCAAATGGACCTGACAGCTCCTTGTGTGCCTAATGCGCAGGCGCGACGAAGGCATTGGCATTGGAACTACCGCGATCAATTCCTTAACGCCTCTCGGAAACCATGGTGGTTCAACAATAAAGTTGCTGGGTAAATAAATTGTAATATTAGAACTTATTGTTTATGGATTTTCAGGAAATTTACTAACAGTTTTTTTTTTTAACAATTTTACTTAAATTTACACTAAGAAGTAAAAATCAAACATCTTTGCTAATTTAGACGTAGGGTTAATTCTTTATATTAAAACATACCTTTCTTTAGTTCAGCTTATGCATTTTAGCCCGATTAGCTATTAGATGTTTTAGAAAATAATAAAGTTTCCCTACAAGAAAAAATTGTGTGCACCAGTTAAAATACAGGTAATTATTAATATTTATTATATACTATTTCTAACTTAGGTATATTGTGCAGAGTAAGAAGTATTCCAATAGAAAGTAACTTACAAAACAATCTTGATTTAGATTTACAAATATGATTGAAAGTTTTTAGTAGTAATAGTTAGGTAAGCGAGTTAAAATAGCATTCTTACCAAAATTAGTGCGGTGCAGAGAAACACTGAACAGGCGCGTATGTCTAGTACGAGCCTTGGGTGCATTCAAACTAATATTAGAGAAAAAGTCGATACTTTAAATTTCACCTCGAATAATAGTAAATAAAAAACTCATGTCTAGTAATACACGCCTACTAGATAGACGCAGTAGATCATAGTGCTTACAGTCGTCAAGATATGTTAATGTTGTAATTTAGATGTCATAAGAAACGTTTTTGAATCCAATCTACTTTTTCTATGTATGTAAAATATTGGGGAGACCAAACAGGACTGCCATAGTCAAGTACACTTTGCACGTATGCGCGGTAAACTGTTTTCAGTACGCATAACGAAACCTAGATTTCTGAACGCCTTACTGGTATATACGGCGAGATTAAAGCATCTTAGAATCAAACACTACCCCCAGGTCTCTTACATGATCTATCCTAGCGATAACATTATCACCGAATTTTTATGTGAAATTACTGAAAGTGCGATCCAACAAGTACTTTGGTTTAATTTGCATGATACAAAAATTGTATGGTAGACCGAATATTGAAATCAAAATCTTTTCTTTACAGGTACGTCAAAAGTGGCGGTTATCTTACAGAAGTTTTGGTCCGGGGAGCGGGCCACTTAGTACCCATGGACAAGCCAGCAGAGACCACAGAGCTGATCAGCTACTTCATACGGGGCTTAGACATGAAACTGCCCCCAAACTACCAAGTATTAGCTCAAGATACCCCTCCATATGTTAACGATGAATTCGAAGGGATCTCAAAGACAATTTACGAATTTCCAGAGGGACATTCTTCTTCTGGGACTAAAGTTGCCATGGTTATAAGCGTAGTTTTAAACGTTTTGCTAGTTTTAGGTATAGTATGTGGTGTTGTCTATGCGCTGAGGTGGAAGAGACGGAATGAAACGTATATGTACAATACTATGGAAGAGAACAATATTGTTTCTACGATGTTTTAGAATTTAAAAAAAAATTGTTTTGTGCAGTGAGTGCTTTAATAAAACTGTAATTGGAACTGATGAATACTGAAGACAAAATAGACGCTGAGACCTATCACGAGTCATTTTCTTTATAAATGTAATGGTTACTATTCGCATTATTAGAAATATCATAGTAATTTTAGGTTTGTATATATAAGGGCAGTTATGGGGGAACCCTCACCACTGCCTTCTGGATCAGGCCTTGATAGAAAGACATTTTTAAAAGTTTGTCATTTTTATGAGTTTACAATCACAGTATTAGATGTATGTATATTACCTTGTACTCGCAGAGAAAAATAATATTTACCATTTCCCCTTATTAAATGTGTTCAAATAAGTACATACAGGTTAGGTACGCGTCTGTCAACAATTATTTATTGAGTACATACCCGGCGCGTCAGGTCTTACGGGGCGACTGTCTACTCGCAGTTCGTAATCTTCACCTACCTTATCTACCTATTTATTTCTTATATATGTAATTATGAATTTATTTTTGTAAATTTAATTAGCCTCAGTTTAATTAATCGTAATATCACACAACACTCTATAACTATTAGTGAAATATTTGAAACTTAAAATATTTAAAATTCAATATAAAATTATTCCACAAAAGAGACTCGATTGATCATGTAAGAATGATTTTTTCAAAAATTCTCAATATACCTTAAAAAATAATATAATGCAATTTGATTTATTATGTCGCAAAAATAATATTATTTTAGGGAATCTCCTGTACAGAACCGTTTCCTTACAATACAGATTAGTTTATATAATTTTATAGAAGTTTTACACATAGTATAAATGTATTAATATTTAAGGATATTTTTATAAAAGTCATAAGTTTAATTTATATAATTATATATGTGTATAATAGAACGTATAAAAAAGATGTAAATGGAATTTATTAAAATTGAACTTAATTTATGTTAAAAATAAAATCATATTTTTAATTAATGATGGGACATTAAATTTTGCTTAATACCTACATATTAAGCAAAATTTAATGACCCGAAACTAGTGGATCATTAAAAAGAGATCTCCTTTTTTAGAAGAGATAATGCTTCTTTAAGAGTTGATAATTACGTATCATAATTATTGTATGTAATAAATTCATTGGACCGTTTAAAGTAGGCTAAAATTGCCTATTGACAGTTATTCGCTTTAGTAAGGATTAAACACAGTTAAACTTTCTTACTGACCTACGAGTAGTCTTCACTATCTACTGATAGTCATTGTTTCTCATTAGCTCAATTCTATCTTTCAGAAATAGATTGGAGACAGGTTAGAGTGTTTAGCTGAAAAATAGTCTACAATATTTCGATATATTCGGTTAGAATATGTGTGTTGTTCCACAAATAGTTGTAAGGGATAGAGTAAAATGTGAGTTATTAAAAAAAATGGAGTTTTAAACTATCACTATCACTCTACAGAAACCCCTGCTAATTAGCCACACCAGAGCTAAAGCCTCCTTAGAAAGGAGGTTTTAGCCTACTATACCACGCTGGCCAGACAGGTTGATATAGGGTTTGTGTCAAGTTTTCCTTCTCTTTGCAGTGCTGTTGTCCTGCGTAGTTTGTTCCTTTAGTGGGCTCTTACGACACCCACTTGATAATTACGGGTGGCAACATTCCGTATTCTTAATCCGTTACCATAGTGATAAAAAGGCGTTCCAAACGTGTATACATTTTCTAATTTAAAAAAATGTCTAATGACAATGACATTTGTTGTAAACAGCAAATCAAGTTTTCCTTTATTAATAATATCTAGCACAATACTTGTATCTTATTAGACTTATCTAAAGGCGAACAAAAACGCATTAAGACTTGTGCCTTATAACGTGTACTTTTTATATATTATATATACGTTTAAATAATAAACAATAGCAATAGATAAAAAGGTATTTTATTTAAACTCGTCTATGAACACATCAATGATAAACTTCGCGACTTCAGGTTGGTCTGCTGGCACCAAATGTCCAGCTCCACGAACAAGAATATCAATGAAATTGCCCCCTGCCTTTTTATATCTGAAATTATTTAAAAACGTAAAACAATATTTTATAAATAAGTTGTGGTTTCCGTTCGATTCAAACATAACAAGCACTGTGTACATTAATGATCGTGTTATAAGCTGGTTGAAGTGTATAAAAATGAAAGAGTTAAAAAAAATTAAGAACTAGAACCCGCTTTTTTTAAAATGTGGAATTGTAGAGATTTTTCTACTTCTTTTTGTTTTCTAGCTTATAAAAAGCAACACAGTTTCAAGTATTTTGTCGACTATGTTCGACACGACGAACTGACGAGTGACGGCCTATGCCCATTCTCTGGATACTGCTGCTCTGTAAGTTGAGGTTCAATTACTGAAATAAGTGAATGAGTGTAATAGTTTCATAATCTAAAATCGCAGGTACCACGGCTATTTAGATTGGCCATGTTAGTGGTCTTCGGGTGCATCAGCGTCATCAAGCCAACTAGGAGTCAAAATAGTTGGCCGTTTCTACTTCATAGCATCTTTTTTCTGGACTCCTCAATTTTTGTATTAGTATGTTTGTTTATTGAATTAAGTATTTAAAAATAACATTTCATACCCAACAACGGCTCCGTTAGTATGCCGGCGCAAGCGCCGTCGACTTGCATGTAGGTACTGTTCGCGTCGGGACCAATTAAGCGTTTCATACATGTACTTGGATAAACTATATGGTAATATCAAATCCAACTGACCACTAGAAGATAAAAAAAAACATAATTTATTTAAGTTTTATAATACGTGACACTAAAATTATATAGGTATTTGAAATACATGTATTTGTAAATAAAAAAATTAGCCAGTCAGGACGGGTCTCAAAATATATACTTACATAAGTTACTAAACTAACATCACTGTACTAAAAGAAAAAGTGTCTCGTAAAGATAATAAAGGCCAATATTTACATGTTACTGTTCTAGTTCTGTGAGCCTTGCCTTTTTTTATTGTTTTAACTCATCGATGAATTAAATGATTACCAATTGTCTCTCAACAACAACTCTATAAATGTGTATAGATGAGTCTACTTCTATACTATACCTGGATATAATATCTTAGTATATACCTATAACTTAGGACACCATAATATTCAAGAAGGTCTTCAACAAATGGCTTTGTGCTATTGGCGAAATCCGGCAACATCTTGTAATAAACATGCTGGTTGTTGTAGTGAAACGACGAGTCGCCAACATGGATCAGTTCTCTGACATCTGGTCTTGTAATATAAGCCTCGAAAGCAGGAGCTTTTTTTGTCGGATCTTTTAAGAAGTTATATATACTTATCCCACTCTTTTTCTTGATATATTCAATGGTTTCGTTGAATTTCTGTAACAGGTTAAGTAAATGTAAAGACGTTTTTGTAATAGGTAGTACCTGCAAATAGCACATATATTCATACGAGCTGACCCTGCAAACGTTGTTTTGCTATTTACATTATTTAAGTTATTATTATTTTTTTGAATTTCTGAAAAACCGTTCTTAGCTGACCTCTACTCGGTGAAAAGAATATTCCTACCAAATTTCAAGTCTTTAGCTCTAACGGTTCCAGAGATATCGTGATGAGTGACTATATACGTGGAAATCTCTTATATATATACATATAGACTAGTAGGTAGTATTTAAGCAAGGATTGGCCAAAACTGCTGGCAGTACCCACGCTCTTATCTATGTATTAGCATTTGCCGGCCACGTAAGAAGTATGCCCTTTCTCAAACTATAAGTAAAGCCTATGTCTTTTCTCAAGAATCAAACTATCCTGCAAATCAAACTTTTATCCTCATCCCCATTTTATCCCTTTAAAGGATGATTTCTTTGATAAAAACTATCCTATGTCCTTTCCCGGGACTCAAACTATCTCTATAACAAATTTCATTAAAATTGCTTTAGAGGTTTAAGCTTAAACAGGTAATAGACAGATAGACCGACACACTTTCGCTTTTATAACATTAGTATGGATATGGAAAATAAGCTGTTAAATTTCTAATAATAAATAAATAAATAAAAATGAATAAGTAACAAGGGAGATTGACTGAAGGATTTGTCTGCACAGATGGCGTAGTGGTTTAAGCGGTCACCTCGCCGCTTCCTACTGCGGCGAGTGTTGTGGGTCCGATCCCCTCATGGGACAACATTTTGTGTGATTCACAAATTGTTGTTCTGAGTCTGGGTGTTCTTTGTGTCCATTTAATGTATGTTTGTAAAGTCCCCCTTCGACACAGGATATATTCCTAGTAAGGAAGTTGTCTTTATAAGAAAAAGAGCATGCTTCGGCACATATGAGATTACGGTCTCACGGAAAACAGTTAAGCAGTTCTTTTCTGGCTTTTTAGCGAATGAATGATCAGTCCTCCCTGGTGGTGGGTGGGACTGAAAGGGTAACAACGCACTTATGCCTCTTAAGTTGCAGGTGTCCATGGGCAGCGGTAGTCACTTACCATCAGAGGGCCAAGTGCAAGTTTATTTCGCTTATACTCACTGAAATCTCCACCAATCGCTATGCTTAACACGCTCGCGGTCGAGAGCGAGTCGATGTGAAATAAACTTGCACTCGGCCCCCAGGTGACCAATCTGCTTGTTTGCCTCTCTATATACATATATACTTTGAGCATACACATAACGATTATTATTTCTACAAAGTTGTACAAACTATTGTAATAATCAGTTTGTTGTACAATTATGTATTAAAAAACTATTATTTTTCATCATATCTGCTATGAACATACTATCATATCTACTATGAAACAATGCAACATAAATGACACAAAGTTTTTGTATATCAGTACACTAACTGACCCGCGCACCTTCGTCTACGTCTCTCATAAGGAATTATTTGGCCCGTTTTTGCATCATTTTTCATTGATGACGGTTAAAATGGTCGTGAAAACGTAACGGTCGTAACGTATGTTCCTTCCTCAATATATGGGCTATCCAAATCTAAAAGTTTTTTTTCTTAACCTGTAGTTGCTGAGATTAGCGCGTTTAACCAAACAAACTCCTTAGCTTTTTAATATTAATATAGATTTTTTTAAGAAACTGGCAGCTATTTCGTAAAAACGAACAGTTTTTCAAATTATTAAAATTCCCACTGGCGTTTGTCATCAATAAATGCTAACATAAATATAATATCATCATGATCATCATTAGCCTATCGCAGTCCACTGCTGGACATAGTCCTCTCCAATAATATAATATTAATAAATATTTATTTATCTAAATAACTTTTAACAATTTGTACTTAATACTATTTAACATAAGAGAGAACGAAGTCTTAAACCTAATACAAAATATAAAAACAACTTTAAATCAAGTTAGTAACAGAGTCAAGCTCACATTTGCTGCATCCACCATCTTTCTATTGTCAATAAAATGCACAACCTCTTCTTCCAGCGTTTCTAAACGAGATAACTCATTCCCGTCGAGAATACCAAGGTCCCGACACAGATCGCTGTAGTGCATCATATTCCGCAGTTCAACGAGACCATTGCCAATGGCTATACCCTGTGAATAGATGAGTCTTTATAACAAATTAAGAACTACCGAAGTCTTACTTACTTGGTGAGCAATTTTTTTTCGAAAAGTAACTTTCGTCTTACTAGTACAACATTGTTAAAATAACACGCAGGGCTTAATAGCGAATGTCTAAACATTTTACACTTTCGTTTGTTAACAGTGTAAACTATTTAAAACATCATATATAACGTAACGTATATTACGTAATACAATACGACTAATATTATGTTATAAACCACAATATTTAAGGTAATGTAAACGTTTTGTAAAATTTCTTATCACCAATTACCGCAACCGTGTTATTCTATAGAGATATGGCAATCTTTCTACAACTTTCAAGACTAGAGTGATTATGTTTTTCTTGGACAGGCGTGTACCTTTACGATGTATGTATGGCTTTGGAGAGCCTAGTATGAGTTTATTTTACTTCAACTCGATCGTCATGGTGACTACGTAAAGTTCTGAAGGCTTAGTGCGAGGTTATTTCAGAAGAAGATCCTCACGTTCGGCGTTGTGATTGGCCCGCACTGAAATCTTTACCAATCGCAAAACCACACACGCTCGCCGTTGAGAGCGAATTGATGTGAAAAAAACTCAAATGATGCCCTCTGAATGTCAATTCTCGTAATAAAAATTCGTTCAAAATTCAGTGCCGATGTACTCTCAATGTCACAAATGATATAAAATGTATTCAGGTAGTACAGTAATAGGGATTAAAGTAAGAAATTACTGTTGATAGATACTTTTTGATATAAAACCTTGATGGTGTGAGATTTTCGTGTGACACTTTTTTTACATGATACCTATGTGGTTCTTCTTTTAAAAAATGTGCAACATTAGATTTCCAATTGTCTTTTTTATTCAGCTTAGACGTGAAAGGTGGATACTTCCGAGAACTTGGAAAATCCGAGTCATTTTTGAAGACGAGTTAACGCGGCAGAAACGGCTCACAATATCAACTGAGGAGACTGCTAATGAACACATCGTGCGTTTTTGGTTTAAACGCTTTCGTAATCGAAACTTCCACTTGAAGAACGAACCACTTGGAAGACCGCCCACAGGTGAATAACGCTGAATTGAAGATGTTGGTGGAAGCCGACCCAAGTCAAACTACTAAGGAATTAGCGCTATGGTTTAACAATACCCTACCTACAAGAGAGAAAAAATTGAAAATGGGTGCCTCATGATTTTACTGATCTGCAGACAGAAATGTGTGTTGACACTTGTGTTGCCTTGTCTAATCGGTACAGAAATGAAGGAATATTGGATCGAATTGTGACATGTGACAAAAAGTGATTTGTTTACGATAACCGTAGGCGAAAAATGCAATGGCTGATCCCAGGTCAAACACCGCAACAGTGTCCTAAAGCAAACACTGCTGGAGAAACCGTTGTAACTCTACAGGAGCTGCAGTTAGAAACCATACATCCTTCGTACTCGCCAGACCTTACTTGCCGATTTAGAGAATTTTCTATGTAAAAAAAAATCTTCACAGGAGGCAGTACAAAATACTTTCACACATTTTGTCGAATCTAGATCCCCAGAATTCCATTTTAAAGGAATAAATAAACTTCCGTTTAGATGGCAGCAATGTATAGATAGTGAGGGTAAATATTTCATTAAAAAAATGTATTAAATAAATGTACCGTGTAATTTTACAACTGCGGTAAATTACAAATTTTTACACTTTAAACGAGTTACGTAAATATATGTATAGTAAGTTTATAGGTTTGCGATTCTTGCTCCCATGACCATTGGCAAGAAGAGGAACACCGAGATGGTTTTTAGTCGGTAAGAGTCCGACAGACCCCTTCGTCATCCCCCACTGGGCGAAGGACATCCATGAGGATCTTAAACCTCGTTAACAAAAAAAAGAAAAAAAAAAACAGTTTATAGGTTTATATACAAATACTCAGAAAGAGAGTAAATACAGCAAAGGCCTAGACCGAATAGTTTGCAATTCGTTAGTTATTTTTTCTAGTACCTGGGAACCAAAACTATTTCAAAACACTCGTTGTTTTTTGAAAACATGAAAACCTAGAAAAATTTGCAACAGTGCCGCTTTGTTCGTCACAAGAAGACAAGATATAGACCAGTCGCTAGAGCTTTTTGATTAGTTACATACTGGTAAGTTTTATATTTACCTATGTAATTTTCCGAGATACGAAATTGCCGCTTTCTGTCGTCGATATACACATGTTGTCCGTGAACATTGAAATTAAATGTGCAATGTTCATGCTCACTTGGTCATGGTCGATTACCATGACCAAGTCAATCTATGCGTTTAAATATTTATATTTTTAATAGTTATTAACCATGTTTTCACGATGTCATATTTTTGTTATTCAACTTTGCCGGGTAAAAAGTAGCATACCGGCTAGTACAAATTGTAATCTACTAGCTTTTGCCCTTGACTCCGACCGCGTAAAAGTTGCCTATGTCTTTCCTCAAAATCCAAAGTTTCTTCATGCCAAAATTCATTAAAATCGGTTGAGCGGTTATTGATTTCCCATACGAACTTCCACTCCCCTTTTCACTCCCTTAAAGGATGTTTTCTGGGATAAAAACTCCTATGTCCTTTCCCGGGACTCAAACGATCTCTATATCAAATTGTATCTAAATTGGTTCAGTAACAGACAGACAGACGCACTTTCGGATTTATAATATTAGTGTGAAAGTCTGTACCAAATTGAAAGTTGCCGAAGATACCGAAGACCCTGCCGCCCTCTACCCTATAAATTTAAAGTGTATCCCGACTTTATGACTCTTGACTTTCTGTAGTCCATGCGCGACAGTATCGCGTAACACCAGGTGACCGATCTGCTCGTTTATGTTTTAAAAAATAAAATTAAAACCTAAATAAAAATATACTTACTCGCAAATTAATGATGAGTCTCTCATCATTATCATTGCGACTTATATCAGTATTATATCGATGGATCTGTATCCCTAAAGCTGGTACATACTTCCCGGCGTACGATTGCCCAGCGATAAAGAGTGGCGCCGATCGTAGCTCCGGGAACATCTCTAAAAATTGGAGCAAAAACTGCAGCATTTGATCGCCAATCTGCAATTGAAAAGGAAATTCCCAATACCACCAACATAAACATACCTTTTGTATAATTCTTTCAGGTTTTTAAAGGTCATATAAAAATATTAAAAATAAAATAACTACTTCTACGTCGTCTGTGTACTGCGTACGTTTGTATGTGAATCGTAGTCAGAGATCGTATACAATAATTATTCATAGTTAAATAAACTAAAATGACACATAAATTGGTCATTGTACTTTTTTTACTAAATAAGACATAGAATAGTTATTTATCCTTGAATGAATATATGTTTAAGTATGTTACAAGGATTTGATAGGCATTAATTACCACGAATGTGTAGTAGGAGAGACAATAAACCGATCTACTTATAGATTCCTAGTTTAAACCTTATTACTTGTTAAAGCATTGTTAAAAAGTGTTAAATACCTACTACCAAATAAGTAAAAAAAAAGGCAAAATTTCACATTCGCTGTTTTTAATACCGATCGACTGTATATAACGGTGGGCAATGCGCTACTGTAAACATTTTCTCATTTTTTTCTTAATATTACTTAATAATTCTACTTAGATGTGTCAGAAAAGTAATGGCAATAGTACTATTGTATTTAATTTCTGTTATGAAATACCTATATTTATTCACCTTATCTTAGCTTACTATAACTGTAATCTTAATTTACATGCAACATTAAAGTTAAATGACAAAAATAAAGTAAAATAAATGAAGCAATAATATTTTTAAATTTATAAAAAGACATGTTGAAATATTTACTTCTAAGTTTGACACCCAGAACTTTTCAATTTTAGCACGATTTTTTTATATTACGTATCCATAATGTACTTTCAAACATTAAATGAATAATTAAAAAAAAAATGTGTATCATCTTTACGTTTTTTTCTAATCTAACCTTCGACGAATCAGTAATATATTTAACTTTAAAAATGTCTGGGGGCGATGCATTATGACCTTTTAAAGACTAAACACTTTTTACTTAAGTTTTTAAGATGATAGATGTTCAACTGGTTTATTAGCATTTATACTGATTATATAAGAACTTACGAACTTACTATCTTAGAACGACAGCAAAGATTTGCATAATACATTATAAGTTGTTAGTTTGGCGCCACAAGACTATTTATTTGTAGCCATCTGAATTTATATGCTATAAATTAGCTGGTTACGGTCCTAAGCTTGCAAAATTTTAACACCTTAATTTCTTTATTATTATTTTTTTTGTTATTAATAGTAAAACTAGTATTACATGAATTGTACCTATCATTGGCAACAGTCTTATATGCGGATAGACATTTAATGCCCATAGATAGATATTTATATATCATAGATATTTAAAATGGGTATAAGTGGGCTAGACGAACATTTACGACAACATTTCTCGTAACTGTTGGACTAATCAAGTTGCGATCATGTGACATCAATGTGGGATGATGTATTTCCATTTTAACGATGACTTAGTTCAAGAAGATGATGTAAATATTTTTATTTATAATAACAGAGTATTTTTCTGCTGTTACATATTGAACAGTCCTCGAAAGTAAGCATAATTTGTATTATGTTTGTAGAATAAATAAATAGACAATATTTCGAGATTTATATGCAATTAAGACCATACATATAATAACCATACAAATAAACAACCATACATGCGAGTATTTATTTCAAAATTTATGATCACACCTTTGAATTGTTCTCTTTCATTTGAATTCTAATCATAATTTTATAGTATTAGGCACCAGACCGCACATATAAGCAATGGAATATGTGTCAGATGTAATAGATTTTCAACCGTTAAAAATTACACAATTTATAAGATAGGTACGCTGTTGCCAGCGGCTTCCCTTGTTCTAATATAGATTTTATATTTGACAGAAACAGTATAATATTCTAATGATATTCTATTCTACCAAATTCACACAACGCTATCTAGTAGGTACCAAACTAAGCAGAGCTCGTACTATAGGTACTAGACAACTGATATACATACATACATATTTAGTTTTTTTTGAAAATACGTACATAATAAACATAGGAACACCCAGACCAAATCAGGCCAGGCCTTTTGCGTAGCTCTAACAACGAATGCAAAATTATATCAATAATCATAAAAGTACTCACATCGTCTTCATTGTTTGGATATCCACGATCATCATCAGTAAAACTAAATCCAGCACCCACAGGGTTGTCCAGAAACAGTAGGGAATAATCGCTCGCCCATGTCACTTTTCTCTCTTTCACTATAACATTAAAGTTATGGTTATAATTTGAGATCAAACTTCACAAAAAACTACAGATGATATTTTTGACAAAACAGAGATTGTTGCTTCTGTGTGTGTTGATCTATGATTTTGGAGTCTACATAAAAGACTATAAAGAGAGTGATAGAAAGAGTATAAGGAGAGTTTGAGTTTAATTCATATTATTATATTTTAGTATACATCTTAAATTGGTAAGTTAATTCCTCAAAAAACTGAGGACGAAGTATTTTTTTTTATGTGTACATCTGTACTCTAGCTTTTTTGACGAGATGAAAAGAGACGGAAGTGTGTAACAAAATACTGTAGAAGCGAGCGCCATTTTATTAGACCAATAAGTACTAGAGTCGGTCGTCAGATGTTACTAGCCAATTTTCAAAGAGATTCCGGATTACGCTAAAATCTTGTATTACCTGGTATAGTAATACTTAGTTTGAAGACACAATTATTATATATATATATATATAGAAGTGTGACATTACCTTGCCCATCCTCAATTTTTATAGGTCCTATAATGTCAAATAGACCCAACATTGATGACACTCCAGGACCACCTTGCAGCCATATAATCCATGGCGTTTGAGCCAACGGTGTTACCGCGGGAAAGAACCAGAAGAAGAGATTGTTATTATACTTCTCTTCTACAGTCATGAAGCCCGAATGACTTTTAATGTCAAAGAATTTTGTAGAATTGACTTCTGACAGTTTTCTTGCTTCTGTTGCTTGCCCATTTTTTATATAACGTGTTAGAATGAGACGGTCGTTGCTTAATACAACATGATTGAATGCACTGCTGAAAATCAAAAACATGTTTATTCGAAAATTTAGACGGGGATGTGTAGACTATCATGTATTAGACACCTGCAACCTATGAGACAAAGTGTGTTTTCGACCTTTGAATTGGAGGGGTAGGGCAAAATTAGGAGGGACTCAAAAGTTTCGTAGTTATTTCGGCCTCTACTAACTTCACTCACGTAGTGAAAAGCAACAAGAGAACCCTTCCTAGTCCAACACTGATGTGAGCGAACTATTCACAAAACATTTAATATAAATAATAATTTAATATATTATAATAATTTAATGATAAAATTTAATAGACGTTGAAAAATGGCTAAATATAAAAAATCTATTTCTTCATGTGAACCATTATCCTACTTTATATGTTCAACAAGTAATATTTTTTAAATATATAAAGCGAGTTTTCTTGTTTCCTAGGTTGTTAATTATCAGCACCTAAACTACAAAAAATTAAGTGATCATCAATTAAGGAGTGTAAAACTAAAAAAACATAACGAGTGATGCTTGAGTCAGATTTTTTTTAAACAATTATGTTGCTTCAATGCTTAAAAAAATTATATTGCCAGTTTTCATTGAAATACGCGGTCCGTTTTGGTCTAAGAAGACTTGGTGTGACGAGATCTTTGATTTCTACCGTCTTTGCTTTTAAATTGGTTGAGGTGGAGGAAAGCTAATGTCGAATTTCAACTTAAACATATTGCTGCGAAGCAACATCTGTCCTCTTTGTTTTCATTAAACTGTAATCTGAATAAAATATGGACGTGATATTTTTACTTATACCTACTACAATCAATACATTTCGGCAGTTGTCTGCATTTAACTACCAGTATTACTTATTCAGTCAACTGCCAAAAATGTATGGACTCATCAAATACCGAAATGATTGCAAAATCGAATATTTCGAGTAAAAATAAGTTTGACGTTAAAGAAGAAATGGAAAACCCATTTCTTCTTTAACGTCAAACTTATTTTCTTTTGCTATCATATTTGCTTTCATTTTTCATATTAATTTGACCATGAATATAAAAATATGAATAATATATAATCAGCTAATAGCTGCAGTGGATCCTATGTTCAGGAGTGGACTTCGATAGGCTGATGATGATAAAGAAACACTTGACACACAATTAAGTTTTGTCTTAAAATATTGAAGGTAAAATTAAACTTAATATTTCAATTTCAAATTATTGAAACTAAAAAGTCAAGAGAATGAAATCTTATCATATTTTTTCTTTCATGCTGAGACTACGAGTATTAACATAACTGAAAACACACTTTAACTCCACATCAAGAAAAAACATGTTTTACACTACGTTCTGTGAAGCAAAATTTAAACGAAGTTAACTAACCACAACACCAGAGCCACAATTATGAGCTCCATGACCGACTGTAGTGCGAACAAATCTTGAAATGAACTAGTAGTTAGTACCGTGACTACTGTTTTAAAAAGCATAAAAATCGGTGACGAATGACTTACCTATTGTGTTAGTCACTACAACAATTCACTCACCCTTCCATTTCTTCCCGCTCTGAACATAGATGATGAGATCGATGATGTAATATTATTTACAAAGTGTACACCAGATGAATGGGAATCTACGTTACGTGGACAATCATAATGTACTACCGAAATGGCCCAGAGAATTTTACAAATGAAATGTGTAAGTTGATTACTTTTGAAATCTTTGTTAAAAGTTTGCTACAGGTCTTTAGAAAAATTGAAGTTCCTACTCTAGCTAGGAGGACTTCAGGCGTCGAAAGCATTCTGGTAGTGAGTCCATCCTACTGGTATGGAGTTATCCGGCCAATACCACCTTATGGCCGGTATAGACGGACTCGCTCAAAGATTAACCTACATGGGGTGCTTGCTTTTGCGGTGGCGAGGGCCTTTAATATTATTGTACCGTTTATACCGATATAGTATAGGCCAAGACCTCCTTTCTGAGGAGAGGCATATGTCCAGTAGTGGACTATTAAAGGCTGTTGATGATGATGATGATGATGATGTTTATACCGACCCTGCGGAATTAAGAGGCGTATGTTAACTGTATTTTATCAGTGCGCAACAAAGTTTCAGGTGGATAATCGCAATCGCTCCCAGATTGGATATGCAAATGGCATGAGCTAACCTAACATATGACAAAAGAAAGACGTAATAACGTGTCACGCGAAGCAGGCGGATCTGGAAAGAAGTTTGGTTCAAGACATTATGTGTGTAAATCAGCTCATAACTGCAGTGGATTCTATGTCGTTACTTTATTTCAATCATATTTAGTTTATCGCCCTTCTTTATTTATCCAACATCGTTGGGTATAGATGGACTAAGGTATACGAGTATATTTTCCTTGATAAAGGTAACTTGTGGTTTAAGGCAGGGATAATATATTTCTTTCATGCACGTATTTTTCACAAGTGATCTAAATCTGTTACGTCATCAATGCAATTTTCCGATATATCAACCTTAACAATCATAAAAAATGAGCTCATATGAAAATCCTTGAGATGTTTCTGCGGTTTCTTCATCACTGTGATATTTGTCACAAATGATGTGTTTCTTTAGAGAGTAGGAAAACTTTACACCAACCCTTTACCAACCCGTTTGGCCAGCTTGGTATAGTAAGCCAAAGCCTCCTTTCTAAGGAGAGGCCTATGTCCAACAGTGGACTTTTAAAGGCTGTTGTTGGTTATGTATTACACGAAAACTCAGTAGAAACATTGAACAGCAAGTTAAGATTAAAATTAAGCATTATTGTTACTTAAATAGATTTGGGACTAAATTCGTATCAATTGAGTAAAAATGTACACTACAATCTTATTGCATTTGCTATAATATGTTAAGTATGTTTATCAGCAGCCTGTGCTATGGTAACCCGTATGGTTACCTTCTTTTTTTTTAAACCCCCTCGGGCCGTCACCCCACCGGGGTTTGCAACGGGGGAGTGTGTGAGAATCGAACCGACTAAAACCACACGGTGTGACACTACGCGCCTGAGATAGGAAGGGTCCGGGAACAGACATCCAGACCCCTCCCAGTGCCTGCCCGCAACAGCGCGGGCACCACCTTTGGGTAAACTCTCGATTTAGGCAACGTCCGGCACATGGGGACGTCGCCTCCTCGCGGCTGGCCACTATAGCGGATGGAGGAGAAAACCCGTTACTTCCACCCGCAGCCACACTCAAGGTGGCATGAGGCGCTGGCAAGCGCGCCTACGCGAATTGGGTCCGAGTGGAGGTCCTCCTCTCGGCCCTCCCTGCGGGCTCCTTCTGCGAGATGACGTCTTCGCAGAAAGACGCTACCGTGTTGAATCATCTGTCACTACCGGCCATGGAGCGTATAACGACCGGTAGCGAGAGATCCCCACCGATGACTGCAATGAGGACCTAGCGCCGTGTGCTGAGCCGAGTCCTCACTGCAATCGCAGTGGTGACAGGCGGGACTCAATTCCCTCCTAGTGACCGAGTGCAAGTACTTCCCAAAGCAGCCGTGCCCGGAAAGGACCTGCGTGAGACATTTTTAAACAGATCTTACATTTAATACTTTTTTTTTAAATAAAAAATAGTAGATCACCGACATCGGGTACAGAAACCAAGACAGCGGTGGTTAGGGCCCAAAGACAGGTACCACCTCACTAAACGGGCCGTGTCGAGGAGAACTGGCTTGTGTATCAGACCCTTGATGCAGCCGTTCAACGTGAATCTCTTAAGGTGTTGGTCGAGGCTCAAATATTTTATTTGATTTTCTTTTTCAACTTGCACGAGATTCTCGTCTTGCGCTACAACAATTATTGCGCGACACTAATCGATCTATCACCATAATATCAGACTTATACCGTAACAATGTACCGTCTGTGATATTAGAACGATCCCAATACAACGTGGCCTGATATTATTATTCTTCTTTACCAGTTGAAAAGCGCATTTCATGCAAAGCTTAACTAGTACTTTTATTCTGAGATGGTACCATATAATTATCAATGTTTTTCTAGTTTTGATTAAGTCTCGGTAGATAATTATGTAATTCTCACAATAATGTTCGCCAGTCATTAATAGGTTTATAAGCAAAACTTAATTGCTTTTTTTCAACTATGTTCATAAATAGTAAGTAATATATTGACTTCAATACCTAGTACTCTTTAGGTGACTATACTACTGAGTTAAAAAAAAAAGAGAGGCTCAAAAAAGTGGCACAACTCGATTAAGTTTACAAATATGAGAGTGAGTTAAATATTTTTCAGACTTGTTTCAGTTTATGTTTTATAGAATTATTATGAAAAAAGAAATCTACAAAGAAATACATGAAATAAGTTGAAGATGAAAATGTTAAAATGTATACAACAATCAAACAGTTTAGTTAATTAATTAAGTTTTCAAAGACCAAGCAACGAATTCACATTCGTTACGAAGCACTTCTTTTATTTTTTAATCCAAAAATGTTACTTGCCAAAAATTTGCATTTAATCAGTTTAGTTAGTTAGTTTTTATAATACACTTACGACTTAAGATAAATTATTTCTAATTGTACATATTGAATTATTAAATGCATGATGTATTTAATATTTTAACATTTACAAATCACAATACACGTATAATCAAGATAGGTGTCTATTATAATTTTCACGTGAAGAATCTTTACGATAATTTAGTTAGACGTAAAAAATATGTTATAACTACTTGAAGTATAGTAGAAAATCTAAAGTAGCAAGTGCGAAATTTATAAAAGTAACAGATCAAAATTTTATAATATATATTATTTAATAAATAAACAAATACAGTTAAGTTTAATATTAAAGCTGCTTCACTTGAAGAAACATTGTTAAACCCTCACATGATTTGACCTTTCTTATAATTGTTTTTGAATTCGTCTTATTTTATAAGTAGTTAACTAATTTGAATTGTTTCTAATTTTCTATTAAGCTTTAATAAGTAAATACTAAATGTCCTGTACCTATTGATGAAGAGGGCGTGGGAATTAATTGGGTTCCCTCTCCAACACAACTAAAATGAACCGAATCGTCGATGACTCATTCCAGCTACACGATTGGTTTGAATATATTAACATAGGCTTAATAACCAAAGCTTTTTTTTAAGAACTGCTTTGAAAATAAGTAGTGTTGGGAAAAAACCCTGTGAAACTTAACCAGTTTTACGATCGTGAGAAAATCAGTTATCACTACAATCGTATCAGATGATTCGTAATACGCTATTAGGTATTATTTCCACGTTTTTAAATGTATCGCATCGATGTTTGTTTTACTACGAATATCCTAAATATAGAGCAAATCACTTCGGAGAGCGTGCAAGAATCTATCGCAAATAACCGACCGTGGGAGCGTCTTTATGCTAAACAGGTCATTGGTACCCAGCGCTGGTACGCGGTAAATACAGGCTGTTCCGATATCGAAGCGGAACAATAACATCCACTATCTGATTTTGATTCTCTAGACCTGAAATGTTATGGACTGATTTAACTATCACTTTCGTTATTAAGTCTTTCCCCTTTAAGCTACTCAGATATGTGCAATAAATATCATTTCTTTTATAAAGGAAAATATAGCAACTTATACTAAAATTTAAAAAAAAAATCTTTTTTACAACAGTTGTAATTTAGATATCCATACATGAATAACCGGACTTAGTATGGGTATTTCTAATTTACTTTAAGTGAAAAAAAAATATGAAGCTCGAACTACAGCCATAAAACTATCTGTCACCGTTAAAATCCTAATCTTTCTAGGTGTAATTAAATTTAAAAAAAACTGATAAAAAATACAAAAAAGAAAGAACCAGTTTGTTTTTAATACAAATAATGCTAATAAATTATTCACATCAAAGTTGTTTTTTCCTTAAATTAGCAACAGAAAAATATCAACACAAGAGATGACGCTATAAATATTCCCTTCTTAAGCTACATTCTGATTAATGAATAAAACCCTTAAATGTGTAGTCTCCAGTTTTTGTACTACACTTCACCTCACTAATTAATTTCAATGGAAGATTTTTTTTGTATTCTCCCATAATTTGTAGGCTCTTATCATATATTCATCTAATCTCATAAAATTGAAGAAGTTTGTTTTATTTTTATTATCTTTTTTTTTGTTAACAGGGTGGTAAATCCCTTCGGATTTCCTGCCCCTCGGCGACTCACGAGAAAGTCATATGGCAATCAGGTTCATGTCGAACTAAGTGAAAAAATATAAGTTTACCAGAGTTAATATCAACGTTACTTTTGATAAATAGATGCACACTCCGGCAAATTGGGTACCGTGAGCATTCATCGAACAATAAGTCAGCTTGCTTGATAACAAAATATATTTTCCATTGTCCACTCATGTCGTTAACCTATGTCTAAATGTTAAATTTTGTTGTTATTCTATTCTTTAAACTTGATTACCAATTTTCTACATCTACTTGAGGCCTTTTACTGTTATTAACTATAGTAGAAAGACGTAAAAATCGATTTGTGGGATTAAAATGTCATGGATCTAATATGTATTAAAACTATATTAATCCAAACCTCATTATTATATATTATTAAGAAAGTAACTAACATTGCTCAAATTCTGCATAATGCTTATTAAGTCTACCTATTTGATGAACGAAAAAAGTCTTTGCCCTGGGTACAGAGAAGGCACTGAAGATACTCGATTTCTTACTCTTTTTCCAACTCACTTTTTTACGAGTACATCTTGATTACAGAGCTTAAACTTTAACTTGAATTGAAATATTGTATGTATAAATTGTCGAAAATAAAACAATAAAATATAATATTATCTCGACAAAATCGTAATTATAACAATTGAGATTAATAAGAAATAATTTTACCTATATCAGCTTTCCAGATATTTGCGAGTGTCATAAAAGCACTTATATCATCAACAGCCTAGAATAGTCCACTGCTGGACATAGGCCTCTCCTTAGATAGGAGGTTTTGGCACTTATATAGCACTTATATAGTAGAGTGATATCAATTAGTCAACTAAATCTGATTACTATTCAAATCTTTCCCTTTTTAAGGTTCCAATACTAAAGTGTATTCTTCCAAAACAAACCAAAATCAATAATTTATTTTCTGCAAACAAAAAATGTGACACGTCCTGTATAACAGATCGAGATAAATCCAAGTTCAAGACGCAAGTGCACGGTGAGAACTGGCTGACTATACAAGGTTCCTGAGGCTAGGACTTACAGCCCATTCCGCTGAGAAGGACCAAACGAACAGCACCCCTTTGGGACCACGCTAGTGTAACTACAACATGTTTATGTTTTGGACCTTTATTTTGATGGCGTAAGTTTATTTTTAATTGTGTATGTAACGAAAGGTTTTCCATAAGTGTTTAGTATTGAAAATTTTCTGCTTATCTTTGTTACTATCGTCATGTTATAAATGAATTTAATATGACTAGTGGTAACTCTTTAAACTTTTAAGTGTCTTGTTAACCCTTTCAACTTCTGTTATGATTAGGTTCAATTTCCTTAAATCGCAAGTATTAGACATTAAGTCGCTACCTTATAGCGTAGATTACCGCTGATTAAATGAATATGTTCAATATTTTATGTAAATTTAATATGCATATATTAACAGTTAATACGCGTCTTAATAAAAATCACGGTTTCTTCTCACTTTTTTGTCTAATTGAACGTAAACTTTACTAAGACGGCGAAATGAAATTCACATTCTTACTTTTCTTTTTCAAGTTGCTTAATTGAAATTGTGATATACGTGCTACTATTTGAATCCAAAACCAGCGTGAACTCTTCTGTCTATGGACTTACAAGCTGATATCTTCATTTTGGCCATCATTTCTTTGTAGTTTGAGACTGTACTTAGTACCTGTCTAGTTAATTTTTATTGTTTTATTTTTAATAATGGATAACATATGTTTACATTTAATAACAAGCTCTGTAGTTCATTATGCCTAATAAAAAAAGCAGTAGATACTGATTTATTTTTTTATAAATAAAAACTGTGTGTCCAAAGCCTATGGCTTCACCAATGTTTAGGATTACCTGTCACTGAAAATAAATATAGCCCTTGTTACTTCTTATAATTTCAGAGTATTTTGAATCAAACAAACTTACATTACCTGTACACAATGAAACAGACATATGTAAATATTGAACAATTGAAATATTTAACGTAGCTTCATTATAAGTTAAAAGCTAAAAGCCAAGATTAACTTAATAATAATAATAATTAACGTATCATTTGCACAGATATTGCATTTGCTAATAAACACATCGGTATGTAAAATTAGCCACTACACTAAGGCCTCCATCTCCGAAAGATTATGCAGAGATATATTAAATAAAGTATAGTTTAAAGAACTAAAGAAAACACGCTTTTATAGCTAGCCGGACTAAATAGTGGGAAATAATTTTCTATTAGTTCAAAAAGATTCATTTCCATAATACATCCCATGTATTAATGTAATGGAAAACTAGTGCCTATAAGAAAACCTTAATATTAACAATGATAACAAAAATAACTCATGATTTTGTTCTCAGATGTGTCCACAAAGCAGTATGTTTAGACAGTTCACCATTACCAAGCCTACCACCTGGAGAGGCTCCTGAGCCAATTCTTACGTTCATGGAAAAGACCTACAAGCCTGGTAGGATGAGGGCCACCTTTGACGCGGGTTCCCCTCTCCTCCTTACTCCTTACATTGAAGAGAATCGACTAGAGGAGGGCAGAAAAGCTGCGTATGTTGACCCCGCGTATTTGCTGCCTGGTATGGATAGTTATGCCGGATATTTAACGGTAAGGTTCATTTGTAATTTAGCTTTAATTATAGCAATCGCCCACATGTATTATTGAGGTGATCAGTGACTTTCTAATCTAAAAATTTAATTGTGTAAAATTTGCACAATTTTACAAATTAAATAAGCCCGGTGTCCCAAATATATAAATAAATGTATGAAAGATATATACGAAATTTATTTTAATTTTTTTTGATATTAAATTTTGTTTACCTTATTTAGAAAAAAAAAATAACAAATTTTTTGAGTGGTTATTGTCGTTCTAACTAATTTTCCTTCGATCCTATTGTTAGCTAATGTAGTTCAGGTACATGCTACTCGTACTTGCGTGCAGGCTGCATGAAAATTACTTTTTTCAATATCTTCTGTTTTGTAATAGGTAAAAATAAATAGGTGATGAATAAGTTCAAGGTAATAGCGCTAATAGCTTTCAAAGTTAATTACCAAAGTTGGAGTAATTTTATTCAAAATCAGAAATATAGAAACCAAATCAGAAAATAGATATAATATCAACGGAACTATTAATTGTAGATAACTTTTATACCTACCTATCTGTTTTGGCGCCATTTGAATTTTGAAGTGGTATAACAACATTTATTATGAGCTCATTTTACCTTTACGTGAGTATATAATACTGTACGTAATATTGGAATAACAGGCTATAGAAATACTATTAACTACTAAAAATGTCCCACAAAACTTGTTTCAAAACTCGCGAACCGGCAAATCATAAATTGTATCATTGACAATAATGTGTGGGTAATTAGAACATTAATATGTTTTTAACTTCTTATTACACTGTCATACTTATATAATAGTTTTAAGATTTTTTTGCTATTTTTTTTTTCTTATAATATGGTACATATCTATAATATTAACAGTCATTCGAATTCAAATATGGCAATTATTAAAATTATTGACTTTTGATTGCTTATTTTTTTTGTTGACGGGGTGGAAAATCCCTTCGGATCTCCGACTTTTCGGGGACGCAGGAGGTGTTTCCACTAAAAACCACCCCGACAGCCGGTCTCTTGGGGAGGACCCGGACCATGTTATTTCTGGTCCCCCACGGGTTTATTATTAGTGCAAAGTAGGTGTTTTCTAATACACCTATTTTGCGTGCATCGGCATAAAACAGTCAAACCCTCGGTCTCGATCGCCTAGATCGAGACCAAGGGTGAGACTTCTGCAGTTAGCTTGGCATGACATAGCAATGACATTCGATCGGGTCTGGCATAAGACGCTTCTCTCGAAGCTCCTTTCCTATGGGCTTCCCGATAAATTATGTATAATTTCTTCTTAATAAGTCCATAATTTCTTGGTCACCGGTTTCCTTTCAGACAGAAGCATTAAGGTCGTTATCGACGGTGCATGCTCCGACTTTAACTCTGTGAATACGGGTGGGATACCAGTAACTGCAAAGCTGTGTGTTTATCACTTACACTGTTTCTTCTGCATAACAATAACATCTTGCAAACTACTAGCATCCATTGCAATGCAGTATATGCCTTTTATACAGGCCGCCCATGTATTTCTTAGGAAAACGTAGAAAACAAACTTGTCTGAAATTCTGAAATTAAATTTCCTTAGCGTCGGTTTCAGATTGGGTAGACTGAATTTAGACGATTTAGACCCAAAAAAGACAAAGACTAGGATACACCTCCCTAACTGCCTCAGCCAGTATCGGAATCCCAAGTACAGTTTTTGGGATACATTTTTTTTATGGAAGAGGGTGCAAACCTTGCCTCGCACAACCAATCTATGGAACAAATTATCGTCTGCGTTATTGCCGGACCGATACGACCTTCAATTAAAGAACGTAATCCTTCCATAAAGGCTGGCAAGGCGCTTGTGACTCCTGATTGCAGGCGTTCATAGGCCGCGGTAGTCATTTTGCATCACCGTGACCGTGACCCGTCTGCTCGTTTGCTGGAGGCATATACTTCAATACAAAATAAAACTAAGTATTAACAACAACAGCTTAAATTTATTGCGATCTATCTACACATTGTTTTGTTTTCAGGTTTACAAAGAATACAATGCGAATCTCTTTTTCTGGTATTTCCCTGTGTCGGGTAAATCGATTGAAGATACACCTTGGATCATTTGGCTTCAAGGAGGGCCTGGCGCGTCTTCCCTCTATGGGTTATTTACAGAAATCGGCCCTTTCTATGTAACTGAAAATAATAACTTGGAAGGTGAGGGACTTAAGAGAAAAATCTTAGAATGTACGTTTACGCTTTAGCTATGTATTTAATAAAAATATTAGTGTCTGAAAATGACAGAAATGCGTTTCAAGCATCGACCGCACTCTTGAGCGGTGTGTTACATCGTGTTTGAAGAAGTAGAGCTTTAAATTTTTATCAGATTTCGTCACCCAACAGAAATCAAGATACTTAAAATAGCCCTATTGTTTTACACTAGTCTTTGCAGTTCTAGGTTACAGTGGTCCTATTTTTTTACAGATAGACGTTACTTAATGATAACACTTAATTACTTTTCCAGAAATGCAGTATTCATGGGGCAAGAACCACTCGCTGCTCTTCATCGATAATCCCGTCGGCACTGGGTTCAGTTTTACTGATGACGACAGAGGATATGCAACTAACCAGACTACGGTAAAGATACTTACAAAAAAATTAAACACTTGCTTTAGAGATACGTATAATGATCCCGCAGTTGTTGCAAACTAGACGAAAGTTAATTAATGTCTTAAAATTTTCTTTTATTAGTAGGTAACTAATCTATGTTACAACCCCGTCGTGTAAGCAACACATTTCACCAACTTCGATTTTAGTCCCATTACTTGATTGATGGGAAAATTGGGAGTATTTTGACGGGGCTATTGGTCTAGTGTTTAGTAACTCGATTCCCGCCCAGGACAAATAATTGTGTGATGAACACAATCATTTGTTTTTTGTCATCATTGTCTGGGTGTAATTTATGTATAATACTCATATGTATGTATTTAGAAATATATAATTACATACGCTTATCATCACTCTGGTTACCGTAGTATGGGCTCTGCCTAGTAAGAGATCAGACGGCCTCAGTTTAATGTTCATATTATAACTCGCACTATAATTCGAATTGGCTTTTACCAGGTAGTTCCCCCCCCCCCCCCCCCCCCGATAGGACCCCTTATTGAAACGGCAAGTTGTTGTAATATGTAATTTTAACATGATTTAACTTCAACTTTTAGATCGGAGAAAACCTCTACGCAGCTTTACAGCAATTCTTGACATTGTTCCCCGATCTCCGCAAGGCGCCGCTTACAATCGCTGGTGAATCATATGCTGGTAAACACATACCTTCACTTGGCATTCAAATTCTATCTCACAAGAGTGAGGATGAGCCCATTAATCTCCACGTAAGTTCCTTCTACTACTATTTACTCAAAAATGCTTTCATTCGTACACCTATCCGTATCGTAATGATATGATAGGCACTCTGTTTTCAACTTAAGTACATAATGTTTTAATTAAATTTTGCACTCACTTTGCTGGCAAATAATTTCTCTAAATGAGTGACAAATAATGTAGGTATATAATGACAAACTATTTTTTATGTTTATCTTTACAAGGAGGGAGGACAAAGCAAATTTTAAAAGCTTGTAATCATATAGTGCTGCAAATTGCAGTCACTGCAGTCAAATATGTGCAATGTGTGACTACTTGTGACTCTGTTGGAGTTGCCATAAAAATAATTGTTTATTAAATTATTTTTCTTTCTTCTTGTTTTCAGGGTTTAGCTATCGGAAACGGTTTCATAGATCCTTTATCACTTCAGAAGTACAGCCATTTTGTTCGTGAAATCGGGCTTGTTGATGACCGTATAGCAAACTCGATGAACCACCTCGAAACAGCTGTCACTCAGTTCATCAATAATGGAGAGATGGTTAAGGCTTATGCTGTAAGTATGCTCACACATTTCTATAGAATATATTTGGAAACGTTACACGATCGCTATTATTATACGACCCGAGTATTAATCGGATTAGCTGGTAAAGCCACTGAAGAAACTATAATTTATTTATTAATTTCAGTATTACAACTACCTACTCCAGTTGTTCTTGTCGGAATCACATCTTTGGAACTTATATAACTATCTAAGAGACGATATTGATTTGGACGGCGCCTATATGGATTACATCCAGAACAGTGAGGTACGGAAGGCGTTGCACGTCGGTAACACGAATTTTACATCTATAGGAGTCGTATACAGGAAATTGGTACCTGATTTTATGGGCAGCTCTAAATCGTGGCTAGAAGAGCTGTTAGAAAATTATAAGGTTATGCTGTACAAGTAAGTATATATTACTTTTGATTAAAACTTCAAGATTATATTGGCACATAGCAACGTACATATTTTCTTAATTTTCATTTATTTTGCAGCGGTCATCTCGACATTATTGTGGCATACCATCCTTCTGTCAATACATACAATTCTCTATCATTCTCCGGAACACAAGAATTTAATAAAACGAAACGCTTACCCTGGTACCACGATGGCAAATTAGCTGGGTAAGTACTAAGTACGACTTTATACATTTCTTTAATGCCTACGAGAGTCAGCACTGCTCCAAGATATCACCTGTCTATCACGAGGAATTTTTGTAAACATGAACCGAACAGATGCTTACGATGTAACACGTGCTTGTTTTCTGTTTAATACTAATAGGACATCTCCTTGGACATTCTACAAAAAGAAAAACTCAATCTGAAAATCAAAATTTATTACAATTTTAAAACACTTGTAAGTTTGTAACTGTAACTCAGAATTTTTCTTGTTTGGCTTTTAGGTACTATAAAGTAGCTGCCAATCTCACAGAGGTAATGATCCGAGGTGCAGGACACATGGTACCAGCGGACAAACCAGCAGAGGCCCTTGGACTCATCTCAGCGTTTGCCCGAGGAATCACACTGGATGATGATACTGGCAGTCTTGTAGAATCAGAAAAAAACTCAGTACGACGACGTCAGCTGCCCCTCGTGTAATGAACGTGAATGTCCATATGCTTCATCTGTATGTTCTGACTGGAATGTTAGTTGTGTGATAGCTATTTTGTAACTAAATAAAAAAAATCTACTGCTATGTTTTTTATCTTCTTCCGTGAAGTGGTTCATCAAGGACACACCGATGAATATTCTGATAGAATAACATCTTGGAAACATCTTCTTGTACTTGTTAGGTACCTATAAAGTTACCGGAATTTAGTGACAAATAGGGATATCAGAGTTCGTTGTGTAGTATTGGGGAAATTTTATTCAACACATTATTCTACAATTAGGTATCCGACTTATCTCTTTACTTTTATAGTCACTACTCCATTTCATCGCATCGCAGTATGATGTTTTATAATTTCTCAATAAACCTAGGTAATAGTTGTCTTTCTATACTGGAAAATTAAAAGCCCACGGTCCAACTCATTTGGCATGAGAACTACCACATTCCTAATTTTGAACAGTTCAGACGTATTTATATAGTATATAATAAAATGACGGTATTAAAAAATTATATCACGCCATGGTTTCCATAAGAGGTATGTAAAATAATAACAAATTGTTGGGATGACTGGGACTTCTTGCTAAGATGTACGGGACATCTCATTAACTCAAGTATAATATTTGAGATATGTAACAAATTAATTAGGCTGGACCAATCTGGAGTCATCGTCATCATGATCATGATCATCAGTCTGGAGAAATACCAAGCTAAGGAAGTAGAATAACTAAAAATAGGTAAGTACGCACTTACCTATTTTTAAGATTACGATCTTACCTATTTATTATGACTTGTACTTTTTGGTAGAGGTCTGAAGTAGGTACATTCTACCTTAGGTACACCTCTACTAAGTTTTGAGACATACCTTTTTTTTAAAAACGGTGTTACCTTAGCTTAAAAAATATGACGCATTAGTATCTTTTCGTACAATATTTTTTTAGATAAATATGAAATTCTTTACTTTCTTTACATATGTAATTTATTTATTTATTTTATACTTTATGCACAAATGTGACACAGGCGGACTTAATGCCGTAGGCATTTTCTACCAGTCGACCTTAGGGCGATGCAGAGTTAAAAAAAATGGTAGATGCACAGAAATTAGAAATGTGATTTAAAAGAAAAAAAAATAGTATAAATAGAATATCATATGCACAGGGTACTTAAATAAATAAACAGAATATATTTTAATAAAAGAGATACATACATATATAATAGGTAATATAATAGGCAAATAATACATAAGTATTTATGTTTACATAATAATATACATTTATACATACATATACCTATACATATTATATATATATATATATATATATACATATACATACATACACACAATAAATTTTAGAAGAGAGAGGTATCAAGGTAGATCTGATAAGGAGTTTAAGAGATGTTTCCGCAACAGGTATTTAAAAGTTTGCCGAGTTTTTGTCATCCTGATCTCGCGAGGCAGCGCGTTCCATAACAGGACGGATTGTACCAGAAAGGTAGAATGTACGAAGTCAGAGCGGTGAGTGGGACAGTGAAGAAGGAGGTTGCTTGAAGATTTAAGGTTTTTATCATGGTTTGCCCCTAAATATTGAAGTTGAGTAGTTAAGTAGGAAGGAGAACTAGGAGAAAAAAGTAAAGAATATAGGGTAGTTAATGCTCGTGTCTCTCTGCGTTGGCGAATTGGAAGCCACCCCAAATGGGAGCGATGCTGCGACACGTGATCATATTTGCGTAAATTGAAAACGAATCGAATGCAATTGTTGAGAAGACGGTCAAGCTTATTGAGCAGATCTGCATTCAGGTCAAAGTAGCACACATCACCATAGTCGATTATAGGGATTATAAGGGTCTGGGCAAGCATTACTTTAGTTTTTATTGGCAGAAAGTTCTTAAGCCTATAGAGGGCCCGCAACGAGCCTGTGACTTTCTGGCACACAGATGCAACTTATTTTCGCCAGCTAAGAGTCGTGTCAATATACAATCCGAGGTCCTTCACACTTTCACAGAATGGAATAACCATGCCATCGTAGATAAGTGGCGGTAGTGAAGCAAGGTCGAGCTGACTCATACGACGGTTACTTCCGATGATAATACCTTGGCATTTATTCGGGTTCACCGATACGCCAAACATATCTTACCAGTGTTTAATGGCCGCCAGGTCACTATTTAGAATCGAGACCGCGGACGATACATCGCACAACTCAGTTTGATAGTATAACTGCAAGTCATCAGCATAGAGATGATAGGAACACTGAAGTCTTGGGGTGATGAGGTTAATGAAGATAGAAAATAGAAGAGGTGAAAGAATACCGCCTTGTGGGACGTCAGCAGAAAGACCGCGCCAGCCAGAGGAAGAATCTTCCGTCCTGACTGACTGCTGACGATCCTGAAGGTAAGAGGAGAACCAGTCCAGTGCTTCTTGAGAGACCAAGAAATGGGATAGGACAGCAAGGAGGAGTTCATGACTGACGGTATTGAAGGCATTGGAAAAATAGACCAGTACCAAGGTAGTAACCTTAGCATTCTCCATCGCCACCTTAATATCACCAGTCACTTTAAGAAGAGCAGTAACCGTGCTATGGCCCGGTCGAAACCCCGACTGAAGAGGACTCAATAAATTGTTACCATAAATAAAGTGGGAGAACTGTTTGATATACAGTGTAATGATATACCTATACATGATATGTTAAAATCTCAGATAGGATAGGACGACTGTGGTACCTATTAGATGTTATAATGACTTTGTTTATTTGTTTTGTAAATTTCTAGCCACAAAAAATGGGTATAAGACATCCACAAGATTAAGGCAAAGTTCGCTGTTTTGCAAGGATTTCGACGTAATTCAAAATTCGAATTATTTGAACTAAGTAATAATCCATAAAGTTTATCTATATTTGAAAATAAAAATATCATGAAAAGAGATATAACACCGTCTTCAAACAGAAGTTCATTAGAAAAAGACTTCGTTTTTTCTCCTAAAATCTATGTACTTGTAATCTGTCATACTTGTAAAGTTTAAAATATTATACAACTAGGATAGTAGTAGTAAAAATAACTGTTAATGAATATAATCGCATCGAATTCTAAAAATGTCGCAGAAGCTAAAATTACCCGACAATGCGGAATAGAAAATTCGTTCAGAAATAAATTGAAAAAAGTCAAGAGCTGAGAACACTGTAATATTTTCCGATACGACAACATTATTAGTGGTGACGTTTCCGATCGTGCAGGCTAAAAGAATATTTATCGAAATAAAATTAGACTATCCAAATAAACGACTCATAATAACTAATAAGTTCTCCATGGAAATGATTATGTAGTTTCTAGCTATACCAGTTACTGTGTATTATCATATTGGTTTATTATTTTAGCCACGGAAGTCCTCGAATAACATCGTCATGTCGTTACACTTGTATATGGTTTGCGCATTGCTGGTTTTGCCGACTATTTATACGTTTTATTTACCCGGATTGGCTCCAGTGAATTATTGTATAGCATCTGAAGAAACAAGCAAGTCGTGCAAGGTAACCAATCATTGTCTCTTAAAGGTTTTGTGTTTATAGTCATAATTATGCGATGCCGACATAACTCTCACATTCCATTGACATCGCATTGCGAAGATACACAAAGCTTTAATGTGAATGCAAACATTGGTTGCTATCGAATAAATATGAATCAGTTAATTCAGTGATTTCCATACAATTGTGCGTCCGTTCTTGATTAGAAATCATATGAAAACTCATAAAACCCGATAAGGGCCCCTTAATCGTTATTTTAACTGGAATATTTTGCAATAATTTCAGACAGAAATCCCACTCTTTGTAAATAGATTAAACACAGAAGAATCGGTGCTTCCGTTTGAGTATCATCATTTTGATTTCTGCACTACCGATGAGAGTGAGTCACCAGTCGAGAATCTTGGCCAAGTTGTGTTCGGTGAGCGGATACGACCGAGCCCTTACAAGCTTGAATTTCTCAAAAATGTGGACTGTAAAGTGGTCTGCACTAAAACATACAAGAACTCCGATACTGATTCTATTAAACGGTTGAATCTGATGAAAATGGGCATGGCACTGTCTTATCAGCACCATTGGATTCTGGATAACATGCCAGTGACTTGGTGTTACTTGGTCAATGAAGGAGGGAAAACTTACTGCAGTACAGGATTCCCGATGGGTTGTCAAGTCCGCAAGGATATGGTAAGTAGTATTCCCTCATGTAAATTGTACATGTAGTATAATCTATACTGGCTAACCTTATAATACATTCACAAGTACACTTTTTGTTATCAAAGAAATAATTAATGCAGCTTTATTGTTCATTAATTAAAATTTCACACTGATTGTGTAAACATAGGTTGGGTTACAAAAATGAACATTTTAGAGATATTTTTATTACAATACCATCTACCAGGTCTAAATGGTGAATTAAAGCCATCCCACACAAAGAACATCAAAATGGGCTTAGTGATTTAAGTTTTTCGGTGACATACACATAAAATAATTTAAATACACTCTAAGTTATAGTTGATTTATTTTTGTCTTAAGTTTTCATAAAGCTATCGAAATCCTTTATATTCCCTGAAGACCTATTCTCGTAATAAAAGTTCAGTCACAATTCAGTTTCAATTCAACTATGGAACTCACAACTGTCAAAAAAGGTATTTTCATAGTAATTTTGAGTGTTTAACCAACCTTGTGATTAATATTTTATTGTAACCATATTGGCCTTCTGGTGTTTATGAGTAGCAAAGTAACACTTGTAAAAGTTTCCATCTCAAGAATCATCAACAGCCTTTAATAGTCCACTGCTGGACATAAGCCTCTCCTTAGAAAGGAGGTTTTGGCCTACTATGCCACGCTGGCCAGACGGGTTGGTATAGGGTTTGTGTCAAGTTTTCCTTCTCTCTGCAGTGCTGTTGTCCTACGTAGTTTTTCCCTTAGTCGGCTCTTAGGACACCCACGGGATGAATAGGGGTGGTGACACTCTGTATTCTTAATCCGTCACCACACGGAAAAATACAGGAAAAATTCCATCTCAAGAATACAGGCTTCTATTTTGATATTAGATACAAGAACTAAAAGCGCCATTGACCACACAAAATAAACAATCAATCAAATTGATGGTTTAAAACATTAAGTTAAGTTGTAGGCACATGCTAGTTATGAATTTAAAAAATTAAATGTATGTATATACATTACAGGAAGAAGATATTTGTTTTCTCTTTAAAAAATATAGAGCCTTGGATTTTAGAACTCAGAGAATTGACATTAAGTGATGGCACTACATCTTCATCATCAAAATAATTCTATAAGTCATATGATTTTGAATTTTTATAATTTTTTAATGGTTTCATAGTTGCTACTGACTTATTGACACACACTTATTATTCTCCTTAGAACTTAGAAGCCTAACCTTTAAAACTTTTAAAGTTATATTAGTAATGTTAATGTGTTTGTAAGTTAGAAGTTATTTGTCAAATACATTAATCAGTTTCCTGTATAATGATAAAAATCTTTTTCTTCAGCACTTATGAAGTGTAATAACCATTCAATGTAACTAAAGATAAGTGCATATTGGATTCATTAGTCTTATCACTTTATCTCAAAAATCTTGATATAGTCCTAATGGTGAATTCTTCTGATTACTAGTTTGTCACTTGTAGTTGATAAAGGAACAGCATTTTCATTCAGTATCTATGTTGTTACTATGTAAGCATGCAATGGATTAATGCAATCATAATTAATTGTATCCAAACAATGTCTGATATTTGGCACCACGTGGAAGAAGTTGTGACCAAAAGCTAGTCACTTCATAAATAACAGAGTTCTTAGATAACAATAATTAAAAATAACTTATTTTTTTTAAGTTAACCTTAAAAAAGGTTAAAAAACTGAAGAGCATTTTGCTGGTGACGATATGTTACAACATGATATGTAACGATTATTCTGTTGAAGTACAAATATTTTTTTCTTCCATTTATTTAACACTTAAATAATGTAGGTACATAACATTTTTGGTTTTTGGTACTGTAAAACCACTATAGTTTTATAGTAAGTAGTTAGTTCATGTGCAGAAAATAGTCAATACATAGTATTTAAGTGATACATTTCGATATTTTATGCAATAGATGTTCATAAATAAAAACATTTGGGGCAAAATAAAATGGTTTGTACCAATATGTTCAAGACATTGGTACAAACCATTTTATGTAGTACTTTACTTTATTAGTATGTTAAAGAATGTTAACATCACATCAAAAGTGTGTCTTAATGCCTTAGCTGCTATATGGAACTAAACAGTACAAAATCCCAAACAACACAAATAGGCAGTTTTATCATTTCCTGTTCGCTATCAGAGGAAAAAGTGATAAATATAGTAGAAATATTATGTTAGAAGCGTAATTCTTTGTTTTATTTTATATACAACATGTCACTCTATATATTATAAAATGAAATCCCCTCCTTCGTTTGTCTATCTAACTGCCATTAAAATACAAAAGTATAGAGCCGATTTTTATACAATATTCACAAATTTATAGTGAATGTGAGTCAACAGTTCTGTTTAAAATTTGCTTAAATATAACAATGGCTAGTTAATTATACTTTTACTTTGAGTCACAAGTATGTGATGCTGACCTGCCTCCAGCTTTTGCCTGCATTCCCTAGTCCATCCATGTAAGAAATTCCTTTCCTACCACTGCCTTAACTTCTAGTTTACTTTTCCTATCAGTGTACTCTCAATTGTGCCACTTGGTTGCTAGCAATTGTAATCAAAATTAGAATTGGCAAAATGTGGTATGTATGCCAATGATAGCATACTACACGATATGTTATCATCTTTAATCTAATCAGGCTAATTTTATGTAGCAGTGAAAGAAAGCGAAAAGCGTATAGAATTATAGACCATCAGATCTGTCACTACTAAAAAGCATTAATTTTATGAAAGTTAACTAGACATGTACACTACAATAAAATAAATATCAAGATAGTACTAATCATTTTCCTGTTAACATTATAGTAGTCAACTGGGTTGATTACTGACATAAAATATGCACAAAATGAGTTTTTACAGACAGCTGATTTTTAGTCAACCTCTAATGTTATGAAGTCTATGGTTGGGATAAACCTCTCAACACTAGCATTGACTGCTACACTGCTGATGAATGAGTTCATCACATTTTTAATACCCAGTAAGTGTTGTCCTGAGCCAGACAGTGGATTTGCCAGCTTATATTATATATGAACTAAAATTTGTGTAATAATAATAACATATAGAAAGTTTAGAAAAATGAAAGCATTAATACAATGCCTTTGAGAAAAAGCTATTGATTTTTGATACAGAATATAGTTTGTGGGCTAACATATTTTTGCTCTGATCTGGCAGTAGTCACTTTCCATCAGGTGACCCGTCTGCTCATTTGGACCCTATTTTATAAAAAAATAGAATTCTATACCACAGATTAAATAATATCACTTGTAAGCTATGATTGTCATTTGTTGAGTGTGCGTTTTTATGAATACTGTTATTGTCAGTGGTCTCAATGTATTAAAAATGGTCACCCATCCATAGACTGACCTGGCTAGGATTGCTTAACTTTGCAATGTGTTAACCTACTCGGTTACCACTTAGCGAGCTATTATGATTATTATACCGACAGAGTGCTGATGGCCCGTGATCGTATGCCTCCTCCATTAGAGGTAGTTTACCTAACTATAATTATATTCTATGGCATTACAATAAATCCACTTATACGTAGGTGTATAACAATAGGAAGCGATGTGGTATACATAATGTCATAAATAGAACATTAATAACTAGCCGTTTTCTACACACTGTGGCGGAATACATCCAATCTATTTTCTGAATATCACCAAATCAATTTAAATCTATAAGTAAAATGCCTATGTATTGAATGATAAATACGAAATTGTTTGTAGATAAGAATGTCAGTCAAGAATATTACTTTGTTTCTTCGCTTTTAAAGCGTGTTAACGTAGTTGGGTTTTAAGTTTTTAATAAATAAAATAATTATTATAATGTAATTTGAAATAAGAATCCAGATCAAAAAGATTACTAAATAAAGAAGTTTCATACGGATAAAAAAAAAACTAAATGGAAAAAACTGGAAAAAAACTCGTATCAATATGATGACAATACCTTCATAATTTGTATGAACAAGAATGACGCTGCAACTAATGTCTCACTTGTGGACAAATGTTATTAGCAAAAACGGATCTATATCAAGGCAGTTTGCAAAAATTATAAGTTAAAGAACTTAATTTGAAAAAGAAAACGAAAAACCCAACTGCCCTTTTAGGCAGTTAAGTTGTTAAGGTGCTTATAATTTACAACATGCGGTTTTAATTTTTATCATTTTCATATACCCAGAGTCACTCACAATCGAATAAGACGAATCTAACGACACTTCCCAATAGTTACCAATCCAAATCCTTCAAGCCGGTTCAGCTACAGAACGCTTAGGAAATAAAGTAATTGTATTTTCGGACACACAACGCCATCTAGTTTCAAACTAAGCAGAGCTTGTTCTATGAAAGCTAGATTGACTAATAGAATACTTATATGCTTTTTGAAAATACATAGAAAACACCCAAACTCCGAAACCAATAATAGCAAATCATACAAAAACTCAGGGAATCGGACCCGAGACCTTAGCACAGCAGTCGCATACGCTACCACTGCACACCACCAAGGCAGTCAAATATACATAAATACACTCGAAAATTTAACTCTCTTTATAGCCACTCCGTTAAAAAAATATATATTGTATCGCCTTCACTACTACATCATCATCAACAGCCTTTAATAGTCCACTCCTGGTCATAAGCCTCTCCTTAGAAAGGAGGTTTTGGCCTACTATACCACGCTGGCCAGACGGGTTGGTATAGGGTTTGTGTCAAGTTTTCCTTCTCTCTGCAGTGCTGTTGTCCTGCGTAGTTTTTTCCCTTAGTCGGCTCTTACGACACCCACGGGATGAATAGGGGTGGCGACACTCTGTATTCTTAATCCGTCACCACACGGACACACTACTACATAAGTGTTTTAAATTCTAACTCCCAATCTGTTTCAGGACACCTGCACGCCCATAGTGAATGGTCGCACGAGTCGAATTGGCGCTTACTATTTGTTCAATCACGTTGATTTGGAGATTACTTATCATAGCGGCGGCAAAGAAGAATGGGGGGTAGCATTTGGAGAAAACAGTGGACGTATCATTTCTGCTAAGGTAATATTTCAATTCTTTTTCCCATTCTTATTTGCCAATGTATGCAAACCTCATTCGTGCCTTAAAATAAATGAACTTATGTTTGTGTGTAATCTTGATGTTTTAAACAATTTGTCTGACAAATTGTTTATGGTATAAGTTGTTACAATTGGCAATAATAAATAGCATGGAGGTTAGAAATATTTTCCTCTTTTAACCTATAATTTAGAATTGGACTAGATAGAATAGATAAGACTTTATACTTTATATACATACATAACAGGAAATTAATTAATATACAAACTACTACAAAAATTTTAAATTTTCAGGTGAAACCAGCCAGCATTAGGCATAACAATCCGAACAACCCCGATTGCAAAGCGCGCAATGTCGAAATGGAAATCCCCATGCAAGCCGATAAAACCTTCAACGTCACGTATACGTACAGCGTAACTTTTATAAAGAACAACACAATTAAATGGTCCTCAAGGTGGGATTACATACTGGAGTCAATGCCTCAGACAAATATCCAATGGTTTTCGATATTAAACTCCTTGGTAATTGTACTGTTCCTAAGCGGTATGGTTGCTATGATTCTGCTTAGGACACTTTATAAAGACATAGCGAGATATAACCAAATGGAATGTGGAGAAGATGCTCAAGTAAGACTTATTTTTAGCAACTGTAGATAAATAATAATCGTACATATGTAGGTAAACATAAATTACTCTTGAGGAAAAAAGTAGTAGAGTTTTTGAATGGATGTCATCTACTTACAAAATATGCCAAAACTGTATGAAAATGAGGCATTTGTCAATAGACTCACATTAGCACAGTGCTAATGCAGGACTGCTGCAACTAAGATTAGTCGTAGCAACGGCTAGGATTAGTTGCGGCCACTATTAACTGTTGCAGTTTAGTGCGTTAGTATTCACAAGTATTATTGTGCTAATTCCTACAAATTCTTGTCGGACCTGCAAGTCTAAATTTTCTCTTTGTTACAACAGGAGATTTTTTTGTTTGATTGAAATCACATTTAATCCAACCTCATGACTTGTATTCGCGTGTAATGTACTAGACTAAAGGATTATTCACATTATACCACAATGAGTGCGAGGATCAGATGTGTTTGTGGCCAACTTGTACGTCGATTGTATGTGTTGTAATATTAATGCTTGTAAAGTGTTTATAACATTTTCAATCCATTCTCCTACGAGCAATCCAAGTCATGCTTAAAATAACATTTACAGGAGGAGTTTGGGTGGAAACTTGTACACGGTGATGTATTCAGACCTCCACGCCGTGGTATGCTGCTTGCTGTGTTCTTAGGATCTGGATCACAGGTAAACATAAGTACTATCAACCCATTAATTACTTCTTTGGGTACACAGTAATTTTTTCGGTATAAATCATAAAAAGCCTCGTGGGTTAATCCGTAAGGGTGTCATCAAATACCTCCATACCAAATTTTATCAAAATTAGTCCAGCCGTTTGAGTCGAGCCATACCGTTAAAACTTATTTTATACTAAAGTTAAATTAGATTAAGATGTTACTCTGTCTATGTTAAGGTGTTCGGCATGACGCTAGTGACTTTGGCGTTCGCGTGTCTGGGCTTCCTGTCCCCCGCCAACCGCGGCGCGCTGATGACGTGCGCGCTCGTCGCGTGGGTGCTGCTCGGGGCCGCCGCCGGCTACGTCAGCGCCAGGATCTACAAGAGCTTCGGCGGACGGAGGTGGAAGAGCAATATTCTGCTCACTTCGATGGTGTGTCCCGGGTATGTCATCTTGTAATTAAATTTTTGGTGTTGATAAATGAATATGCAGTATTATAGTCCTACGCCTTGTACATAAACTCTCGCTTTCCTTCTTCAAAGAGAGAGATACCCACCACTTATTTCTATCATCGCGTACTTCACGAGCTATTTTTAGCTGTAGCCTTTCAATAGTTCTGACTGGTCCTTTCTTCAGGACGCCCCTAATTTGATCAGCTGATCTCGATCTCTGAGAACATCCTTTGCGTGGTATATATAAAGTCAATCTCGTCGTGTTTTTTACTTCTGTTTAATAATAAAAGCAATTTAAAATTAGGTTTACGTTGTTTCAGTGTTGTGTTTGGACTGTTCTTCATAATGAATCTGGTTTTATGGGGTGAGGGCTCGTCTGCTGCGATTCCGTTCTCTACCCTAGTAGCACTGCTAGCTCTTTGGTTTGGAGTTTCCGTGCCTCTCACTTTTATCGGCGCTTACTTCGGATTTAGGAAGAGGGTATGATATATTATTATTCCTTAAATATTAATTAACAAATTACTAAACGTGCCTGATGATTTTTAGCTCTATGATAATTATCCTGCAATAAGTTTAAATTATAAAAAAAATCTCTATGAAGATGCCGTAGAAGAACCTTTTATTTGTTATCACGTTTTAAACCATTGTTTGTTGAGTGGTATAGGGGCAATCGAGCTCTCTGCTCGACTTGATTTCTTTTTTCTTTTAAAAAAGACCTCCCGCAATAGAAATATATCCTGTCCATGTATGAAACAACACAAAGAACACCCAGACTCAGAAAAAAATTGTGGATCACACAAGTCGATGTTCCATGCGGGGATCGAACACACAGCGCAGTAAGAAGCGGCGAGGTGACCGCTTAAACTACTACGCCATCCGTGCAATCGAATCGAACTCGAACTTGATGGTAAGGGACTACCGCTGCCTGGACACATACAAGTCAAGAGACACGTCTGCACTGCCTGACTTGAGTGCCCATTTTCCCCTAAATTTAGGGAGGGGAGGATTGATCTTCGGTAGCCTCACCCATATGGTGAAAGGAACAAAAGAATTGCCTAACAGTAGTTTTCTATGAGGTGCGATCACTTCGAACGAGCTGGACTCTCAAAAACCGACATACAGCCAACTATACACGTATTTTTGTATTCTAAATGTTAAACAAGCTTGTGTATTTCTAGATCTTGGACCACCCTGTGCGCACGAACCAAATCCCCCGCCAGATCCCGGAACAGTCTTTGTACACACAGCCAGTACCTGGTATCATTATGGGAGGAGTTTTGCCCTTTGGATGCATCTTCATTCAGCTCTTCTTCATTCTCAACTCACTGTGGTCTAGTCAGGTATGATTTCATATTAAATTTCCAAAAATAGTACAATAAAACTTTTTATGCCAGTAAGGTGGCAAATATAACTCTTATACTTGTAGTGAAACGCTTTTTATGTTTTCGGGGAAACTTCGACAAAAAGTGTCATTTCACAGTTTCAGATGCTTATTTTCAGTTTAAATGTAAAATTAAGAGGGGGGGCAGAGACCAGCAGACGGTTCACCTGGTGGAAAGTGACTACCGCCGCCCATGAACGCTGCAACTCAGTAAAGTGTCTGTATAAAGGCTAAGCGGTTCTATAGCGCCTAGATTTGTCTTTACTTTGTTATATCATTTGCTTTAGAACTAAATAGGACTAGCAATTTACTGTTTAGGCAGTAAAATTTACTTTAATGGTTTACATACATTGATTGATTGTACTACATTGATTACTACATACATGTGAATAAGTCATGTCACTAAAAACTAACATTCCTAATTATTCAATTCTTTCGATGTTTTTTTAATCGCATGAAATGGAAGCATCTGAACCATTTTCTACCAAAAAGTGAACAATTATTTACGAAATATATACTGATGAATAAGGACTCTCCTTCTTTGAATTCGTATAAAAAACACTAAGGACTGTACATTAAAATTATTATTTTTACAACTGTTTTCAGATGTACTACATGTTTGGTTTCTTGTTCCTTGTATTTGTAATCCTGGTGATCACATGTTCGGAGACAACAATCCTGCTTTGCTACTTCCACCTGTGTGCGGAGGACTACCACTGGTGGTGGCGAGCCTTCCTCAGTTCGGGCTCTACGGCCGGATACCTGTTCATCTACTGCTGCCACTACTTCGTCACCAAGCTCAACATCGAGGGCGCTGCTTCCACCTTCCTGTACTTCGGCTACACTTTCATTATGGTATTCTTGTTCTTCCTCCTCACCGGCACTATTGGCTTCATGGCGTGCTTTTGGTTCGTTAGAAAAATCTACAGTGTCGTTAAAGTAGATTAGTTTAGTGTGGTTAGGTTAAGCGAGAGTTGGTACAGCGGTTGATGTGTCCTTTATGATGGCTATTGTTGTGTAGTAGAACGAGAAACCAGCTCGATGCTGTTGCGTGGATATCCGCCTGGTTCAAGTATGATAACGCTTTTTATATCAGAAAACGCAATACTTGTATTGTAATAGATTATAATCGCAGATGCGTTTTGTGTTATAAGAAAGGTTCAAACATGTGTAAATTATTCAATTGCGCTTGACTAGAAAACCTGAGCAAAGTAACGGACTAATCCTTTACTTTACTAAACTATTCTGTGTGTTACTGTAGTAATGGACATTTGAAATATGCCATCACGTTTTGTAACATCTAATCAGTGTATTGCAGGAACGACAAACAAGAGACTGCTGTACACAATGTGATTAATTGTATAAAAGTTTATATTGCAAATAAATTGATAGTTTCCATGTGGTCTTTTAATCCATTTGTTTATTTTTAATCGTTGATTTAATGTTTAGGTCGTATACATGTTTGTCACATGTATAATCTTACGGCCAATAGTGCAAGCTATACACATTGTCTTACGTAGTTTATTTACTACATTTTTTTTGCTTTTTTCAATGTGTATCGTCTTAGTCGCTAGATATATAAGTCGTTTTTGTGTATGACAAGTAATGCTTATTTTATTTATTACTTATGAACGGCAAATTATCACCATTCAGCACAACTAGCACTAGATAAATTAATAAATCACAATTAAAGATTGGTTACATCTAGTACTTAACAGTCTAATACTATTCGAATGAAATAGTGAATGTTAATATTAATCTTGTGATAATAAGTGATTTGATACTTTAATTTGTAATACATTAGGTGCAATTTGGTTACTGGAAATTAAGTGAGAATGATGCATTTGACAAATATTTAAGATTGTTACATAAATTTTCTTTAACAGAAGTATTTAATCTTTATCTAAAACGAATTGAATCCAATTTTTTAATATTACATACAACTAAATGATGTATTATCCGATAGTCATCTGACTATCGGATAATTGGATAACTCTATTAAACAGAAATCGGAAAACTTTATCAAACAAAATTTATTTGCTATATGTTTACATATAATTTATGAATACAGTGAATTGTTCTAGGTGTTTGACTCAACGCAATACAACTTGCCATTAGTATGAGTTAATTATGAAATAACGTAAAATCTTCATACATAACCTCATACAAACCTATAGATCGAATTGACTCTCTCAATCGATTAAGTTTACTTGAAGTATTAGTGTCGCAACGATTTTGTGTTGTGCAAATCTCTCGTAGCATTTGACGAAGCGAAATCAGGTCACTAAAACATTGTATTATGTATGTAAATGGTCACTTATCGCATTTCCTCTCCGACTACGAATACGATGATAAATATTTGCATCTTGGGTAGAACAAGAGTATAAATGAATTTATTTATCAAAAGTATTTAAAAATAGTTCTTATAGTTGAGGAACATGACTTGTATTAGTTTCTACTTAAGTGCCACCAGAAGGCGTTAGTGCATAGGCGTAACAAAATAACACGACATTGAATGTTACAGTGTATTTAAAATAGCTCGCCTGTGAAATTATAAAAAATGCAGTTACGCACTTGTCTTACGACATGTGAGATGATTATGACCAATTGCGTTCGTGCAATCATTGTACGAGAGACGTGAAAATGTAATAATTACCTCTATGATATGAAGAATCGCCACCTAATTATTGCAATCGACATTTGCGTATGTGTTCCTCTATCTGTGTATAACATTTTTGTATTGCGTTTTGTTGAGAAGAGTATCAAGCAAAGTCGTATTATGATTGTATCGAATATTGTTATTTGGTAACATTAAATAATCACGGTGCATAACTTAGTAGTCATAATTACATTTGTCATTCAAGAACTTTAACGTTACACCTTTTGTTTTAATTTTAGAAGCTCTTTCATTAAACACATACGTTATATCGTGAGCATATTATGCAATTATTGTAACATGATTTATCATTATTTTTAACTGTGCTTAGTTAATTAAAACAGTTGAATGTAAATAATAAAATTACTATTTTATAAATGCATTTCATTTTATTGTTAAAAACATAATACCTAAATTAATCACTGTCACTCTCTGAGAGTTCAGCCTTATCTTTTGGTTGCAACGCCTTTTTCTTGAATACCTTCCTTTTCTTATCTAATTTAGTTTTTCTAAATAACTCTATAGCCTTAAGTTTATTTTCCAGTAGACTTTGTTTGTCCTTTTCCCTCTGTGGAATAATTTCTTGGCAACGATCTGTCTTTCGAATCCTAATTTCAAGCTCAGATTTACCATCTTCCTTTAATAATGAGACAACTTTCACACCTTGCTTCATAAGTACATTATTTTCATTAATCTTCTTTTGCTTACTAACGGAAGGTCCAGCCGAACTTTGTGCAGCTGATTTAGCCTTGCGTTTAACACTTTGTTTAACTTTCTCAATGGTTTTATTATTTTCTACATTCACACTGCTAAGTTCTGCTGTTTCTGGCCCCATTCTTTGAACAGCGGCTTTCACTCTTTTACTCATTTGTTCATCTAAAGGTTGGAATTGTATTTTCCTTTTGAAGAAGTCTTGCATGGACTTCTGTGTTTTACGTTCAATTACTCGTTTTAGAACTGGCTTAATAATTTCATCTAATTTGCTTTGAGACCATCCAAACTTGGTCTTAGTGTAATCTCTGAGAATTGTGACATCTAAGTCGCCCCATGTAAACTTATCTTCGTTTTTTTCTACATTAGGTTCTAAATAAGCTTGGACCACCTAAAAAATTTAATACACTGGTTACCTTCTGTTATCAAAAATGAGTAAGTACATATTAGGAATACTTTAGAAGGAATTATATCTACCACACCAGGTTTGTTAAAGAAGACATACAAGTTTGTTTTCTGTGAACTACCTAACTAAATAATACTAAACTAAAATATCTAATACTAACATTTATTTCTTAATTGGAGAGGTTGAATAAAATCATCATCAACAGCCTTTATTAGTCCACTGCTGGACATAGGCCTCTCCTTAGAAAGGGACGTTATAAAAATACTAATGCGCAATATGCATATCCAACATTGTTACTTAACGAAAGTAAATCTGTATAAATCTCAGAACTTTTAATTTAAGTCCACTTAAGGGTATTCAATTAATTTTAATTTAAAAAAAAATAGACAATTCTTAGGCCCGTTTTCTACCAAAACAGAGAAGAAACGAGATGTGCGGTAACGAGCGGCATAGCGGGCAGGTTATTTCCACTAAAGCAGACAGAGCGGGGATTTGCGGAAACGAGTATCGTAAGGTGCAAAGCGGAAGTGAGCTTAGTGTAAGTTTATTTCACATCAAATCGATTGTCACGGTGAACGCGTTCGACGCTGTGATTGGCCTGCACTGAAATCTGCAGTAATCGCAACGCGGAACGCGCTCGCTGTTGAGAGCGAGTTGCTGTGAAATAAATTTGCGCTAAGCCCTCAGGGCTGAATACGAGTTGTGTGTGCGTGCGACAGTTCGTGGAGTCACGAGCTGAACAGCGCCCCGAAGATCTCCGTTCCGTTCCGACCGCTAGTGCGACGTATTTTGTATGTAAACACCGCACATTTTTTCTCCGCTGTGCTCAATCTTTTCGAGTGAAGCTGAGCGGAGACGTGTAAATAACGAAATTTCATTAGTTGCTAATTACACATCTCATTTTCGTTTCTCCTCTGCTTTGATGGAAAACGGAAACCTTTTGTAGCGACATGAACCAATGACAGAATTCTGAACTATATTTATTGACGGCCGGATGGCGTAGTCGTTTGTGTATCGGACTGTTACGCCAAGGTCGCAGGTTCAATTCCCGCTCAAGTCAAACATATGTGTGATTTACCATGTAAATTTCGATTAGGTCAAACATTATACTTTTAATTTTGTATGTATTTACAAAAAAAGGAATTAATGTAGGAATTTACAAAAAAAAGTATATTTATATTTTATATCAGTTGTATAGTACCATAGTACAAGATCTGCTTAGTTTGGGACTAGATGGTCTTGTATGAATGAGGTTATTATAATTAATTATAAAATATTTTTTATTTATATCACATTTTAAAATTATAATATTATGTTATATTTATATCACATGTACTACATTTAACAAAACAGTGTCTTTATATGCCTTATGTGATATTAATTAACAAGCCAACAAATTAACTTACTCGAGTACTTGGAAAGTCTTCAGTCAATGTAACATTTTTTAATTTTTTCTTAAGACTAATGTTATCAGTTCTTTTACCAGCCTTTACCCATTGCTTAAACTCTTGCAGGCCTTTTATCATTTGCGCACATCGACCTAGTTTTGTAGTTTCATTAAGGAGTTGTCGTTTATTGATAGGAAAAGAGGCTAAAATTTCCAAAGCAGTAACCGGCCCAACGCCAGTGACTCCTGTGGTATAATCACTACCCACTAGTAGTGCTAACAGTACTAATTGCTCTCTATTTAAATCTGAAAGTGCACATCACAATAAGTATCAAAATATTTAAAAAGACATAAATAAATAAAAAAAGTAGATACTCACTAAATGAAGCCTCAATTCTCTCAGCTTGAAACTGCAACACATGCTTTTTCTGGTTGAAAAAATTCTTATACACAGTTCTTCCGCCGAATAACCAAATATCGCTATCATCTGTTATGGTTCCATCTGTTAATTTTGCAGTTTCAAGAAATGCGCACTGAGCTTCTGCTTCCATAGGAGCAACAATGTAAGGAATCCCGAATATTTGAAGCAGTTCTTGAGCTTCTTTCGTCATTTGTTCTGTAATATTTCGACCAACGCGATCCAAGCGCCCCTTCTCTTGGATTAAGTCTTGTTCCTTATTCTGCATTTCTTCTACCATAGAATTAAGTGTTTCTGTGTTTATAACTTCTTTTGCGGAATTGCTATCATCTCTAGTAATGTTAAATCTATGAGCAATGATTGCATCATCATTAGGTGATCTATGTTTCAAGGAATCATCATATACATCATTTGCCTCGCTAATTTGTTGTACATGATTAGGTAAATCATCAGCACGTTTTTTTTCATCTTCACCCTCAATTTTATTCATGACTTGTACTTTTAAGTTACTTGCAAAATCTGGTATCTTGATATTTTTCATTGGAGCTACATTTAGGATTTCTTCTGACACTTGGACACTTGTTTCAGATTCACTATTTTTAGACTCAGTTTTCAGTTTCTTTTCATTTGTAGATTGAACTATCTCATTTTGATTTTTTTTATCAGTAAACACATCTTCAAAAATGTCATCGTCAGGTGCAGTGCCTACATTTAACGTTAATTCTATAACAGGCTTTGTAGCTTCTAATACTGTATCAGGTACTTCTTCAAAATCACTGTCTGAATCTGTGTCTTCTTTACTTTCAATACTTGCAATTTCATCAAATTCATTTTCACTTAAGTTAGGCTCTTTCTTAACTTCACATATCTTGGCATCACTTTCAGTATAATCAATTTTTTCTGTACTACTATCAAGGCTTATGATATCGGATGTTGGATTCTCGACACAGATTACTGATGTTTGGGTAGCATTTACACTTTTATCAAAATTCTCAGAGTCTAATACTGTGTCGAAATCAACACTCACTTCACTAATTTTTTCGTTACTTCTATATACTCTATCTTCTTGGACACATTCCTCATCACTAGACGATATGTTTACGTTATCGACAATTATTGATTTCTCTTTGTTAAGCTCATCTATTATTTCGTCAGCTTTAGGGAGCTTTTGTTTAATTCTATCTTTGCCTTTTTTTGTCACTAGTTCATCAATAGCTTTATGAGTTAAGTCACTGTACTGCATAATGTAAGCTTTGGCACAAGAAATATCTGATTGTTCAAAGCCATCACCTTCTTCAGAATCAGTTCCAGAATACTCTGAATCAGTATCTGTCATGCACGATGTCCATGAGTCATCTTTTTTAGAACTAGTACTGTCATTTGGTTTATCAGCACATTCTAAGGACATTTTGATTGCTTTTTGTAAATCGTCTTCAAGCTCATCAATTTTTTCTGATTTACTTTCAGTTGAACCAGTTCCTTGAACTGCAGCAATGCTCGGTCCTGGTTTATTTTCTTCTCTATCCTGTTTCTTTTTAGCATCAGCTAAAGCCTGTTTAACATCCTTGATAAGTAAAAATCTAGATGTGACATTGGATGCAATCCTTCTGGTGGGCAATGTTTCAATTTTTGTGTCAATACCCTCCTCATTTAATAAACATTCTAAATCATTAAGTGACATTCCACAATCACCCATTTCTTTTTCAGTCTCTTCTATACATTCTTGAACTTTTCTTCGTTTTAGTAGCCGTTGCATCTGTAATTTTTCATAATAAATTACCATAATGGTATTATAGTAAAGAACTTATTTTGTAACTATTTAATATTACATTGATACTTACTTGAAAATCAGAAAAGTTATCACTTTTTTTAGGTAACTCATGAAGTTTACCCCAGGAACTTTGTTTTCGTGTCTCTTTCAAGTCCATTAGGATATCATACTTCTCCTTCACTGGTAAACTTTTGAAGGATTCTGATTCAATATTAACAGTGTGGAGATCAATGCTAGAATTGCTTGAATCTTTTTCATCTTCAGATCTACAACAAATAATGTTGATACATGTTAATTATAACAACAAAAATTATTATTTATAGTATTTGGCCTACATATTTATTAGCGATTCCATGACAGAGTTCTGATATAACAAAAATATAGGTAGATTGAGAACTTCCTTTTTTTTTGAAGTCAGTTAAAAACTAAATAAGGCACCAGTTTGGCAAAAAGACTAAGTCCCACCTAATAAACTATGGAGACAAATACAAGTTTAAGCCTAATTTTTAGCTCAGGTAGGTTTTGATTAAATACTAATGATGTCAGATCCATGTTAAAATTGAAGTAATATTGTAATGTTCATCATGGGTTACATATCAGATATATCAAATATTTTTCCTGCATAGTTTATTAAAGGCCCTTGCTATGTCAGACGAGGTTTTCCTTAAGCAGTTAACTCATTCTAAATTTATTCACTTACTCTGACTCACTCTCTTTCTCTCTTTGAGGCAATGCTGGTAATTTGAACAAGTCATCACTGTTTGACGAAGATATCTGTTGATTGCTTGGGGATACATTTTGATTTTGTTTACTTGGAGAAATATCTTTGCCCAACAAACTCTTAATAGCAGTTTTCTTGCTCAGTAGCAAAGCAAGTTCCCTCTTAATGCGTTCTGATTCAGAGTTATATTTTGCTTTGTTATCTTGCCTTCTTGCCTAAAATGTGTGTCATGAAAATTAATCAATAAAGGTCTGTTTTTTAATAGTAAAATAAGGCAACTTAAAATCAATAACAATGTATCTTAAGGGTTTTGAAAAACAAAAACGACTTACAATAGTTTCTTTCTTGAGTTCAGGAAATGCACCATCAAAGACAAATACTGGTTTTATTCTAAAGTACAATAGTTTACACAAGCGTTGGAAAAGTCCCATGAGATGTGCATTTGGCAATGGTGCGCCTTTTGCATCTTGGTAACCTTTCACCATCTGATGCAACCATATTGAAATATCTGTTAAAGTTGTGTAAGAATGTTAAATGTAGTAGTTACTTAAATGATTTTTTATTATAAAATATTTATTGTTATTGTTATGCACTGTGAGCTCACCTACGGCTAAGACTTTGTTCTCCAAAGTCTCTACCGGTACAGGCTTGCCTGCCGGCTCTATTAACCGCCACAGTCCAGTGACTCCCATAGCATGCGATTAAATTCCAGAATAGATTTTTTGTTTATACTAATGTATATATGAGTGTACATAACAAAGGTCGTTTCCCACGATATCTCCGGTCAATCGTCGGTCTCTTCCTCACACATCGCAACGATTTCGCTTCATGAGCTCAATGTACTGTACTCGAGCGCGACGCACACATTCACACGCCAAAACGTCTGCTACTGGCGCACCGCGTACGTAAATATGTGTTCGGTTCACTACAACATATCAAATGTTTTACTACGCCGCGAACGCCCACTCTTTCCCACACTTTATTTTCTCACGCCCCATGCGTAACCCCACATCCTACGACCGACCGTCTGTCAGTCGGCGCGTTACGGGTCTAGCCTAGCCTAGCCTCATCGACTCGACTCGATTCTGTCGATTCGCGCGCGTGTAGTCGACAACACGCCTGTAAGCAGCTCTGTGTCTATGGTCAATCTTTGACAGCTCGCGCATCTGGCGTTGTCGTATTTATACACGAATAAACAGAAGTTTAGTTTACGTTTTGTGAAAATAAATCATAAACCGAACAACTACTTTGTGAAAGACCAGGAGAAGTGAACCCCGGTTGCAAGTGGCGTCTAATAACACAGGGTCCAAACTCGTCTGAAAATTCCGTCGATGAACAGGTGTCTTGAACGAAATGTGTGCCAGTTCCCAGCGTAATTAACTGACGAGGGGCGTGAATAATACATAAGTGTATCGATCCACGAGATAATCGGACCCAGAGGGCGACAACGGCTCGTGTAAAGTAACACGGGGGGCGCGCGCCCGCTAATTGTGACTATAGGACGACGCTCGAGCTGTTAGAACAGCCGGCGATGCCCCTTCGGGTCTGCGGCTGCAGTTAGACACAGTGCCAAGGCATCAGCGCGAGCGCGCGCTATGTGGGTGGCGGCGAGGTGAGGCGGAGCCGTGGCGAGCATGCCGCACCAGTTCGGTGGCGCGGCGGGCGCGGGCGCGCTGGCGGGCGGCGCCTCGCCACCGGCGCAGCACGCAGCGCTTTTCCCGCGCTATGCGGGTGCAGCAGGACCCGGCGCCGGCGCCTACCGTCCCGACGAGCGCCGCCTTACGAGGGAAGCCATGGAGCGGTACCTACGGGACCGCAGTGACATGGTCGTGGTTATATTACATGCTAAAGTCGCCCAGAAGTCGTATGGCAACGAGAAAAGGTTTTTCTGTCCCCCGCCATGCATTTACCTGTTTGGTGACGGCTGGCGACTGCGTCGTGAACGTATGTTGCGTGAGGGTGAGACTGAGCAGGCGGCACAGCTGTGTGCTTTCATAGGTATCGGTAACTCAGATCAGGACATGCAACAGCTGGACTTGAATAATGGCAAACAGTATTGTGCGGCCAAAACTCTGTACATATCTGATTCTGATAAGAGAAAGCATTTCATGTTATCCGTGAAAATGTTTTATGGTAATGGTCATGATATAGGTATTTTCAATAGTAAGAGAATAAAAGTGATATCAAAACCCTCCAAGAAGAAGCAGTCCTTAAAAAATGCAGATTTGTGTATAGCTAGTGGAACGAAGGTAGCTTTATTCAACCGCTTGAGGTCACAGACTGTATCTACGCGATACCTTCATGTGGAGAATGGTAATTTTCATGCATCCTCCACTCAATGGGGAGCATTCACTATCCACCTATTGGATGACAATGAGAGTGAATCTGAAGAGTTTGCAGTGAGAGATGGATATGTCCATTATGGCTCTACAGTTAAATTAGTTTGCTCAGTTACGGGTATGGCACTACCCAGACTAATAATAAGAAAGGTAAGCTAATTGAAAAAGCAACAAATTGTATCTGTTAATCTGGCTTCACCCTAATAACTCACTTAATAGTATTATCATCCCTTCAGTTCAAACTCAAACTTAAAATATCTTTATTTCATAGAGTTATAAGTATATAAGTTCAATTATTGGTAATTCAAATTATAATTTTTCAAATCTTTATCTTTTTCTACTTTTACCATTCTAAATATAAAAAATATCATTCCAAAAGCTAATTTTGTGTAATATGATGCAAAGCAACTATATTGTTTATTTTTTTAATTGTTTTTTTAATAACATGTTACTAATTATCAGAAAACAAAAATGTATATTATATTTTTTGTTAGGAAATAAACACTCATATTAATTCCAATTTTTAAACTTTGATGTTACTCAAATCTGAATCATAGTTTCATTGTAATATTTCCTTTATTGATATTACTTTACTGATATTTAATTATTTAACTTCTTTTAATTTTATTCAGGTTTTCATTACGTAATTAAACACAATTTTATGAAAATAATAACTAATATTGCAAAAAATATTTTTATTTATATTCTAATAATTAAATTATAGTACACAGGTGTTACTTAGTTCTAAACTCATCAAACTTTTACATTTAAAGGCGAGATGCACTCTTTTACATAACAATGAACCACCTTATAAACACTTAATAATACACAATTATATAATATAGTAATATACATATAAATCTATGACATTGTTATTTGTTAACTATTTAGATTTCTGTTATCTAACTTTTGAAAGGAAAATGTTGACCGGTGATAATATAGAAAGGTATAGGACAGTATAGAAAATTTCTAAAGAGAGGCCTAGATTTTTTTTATTGATGTTTTTATGATATTTCATAAAATGCAAAAACAAAAATTTAACTGATGTTAAGTTAGCATTCCAAGTCGAAATCCATCCTATTGCCCGATTAGGTCCCTATACCTTAACACAGATAGCATTCAGCTAATATATTTTTTATCGCACAGGTGGACAAACAAATGGCTCTCCTAGAAGCAGATGATCCAGTGTCTCAACTGCATAAGTGTGCATTTTATATGAAAGACACAGAACGCATGTACCTGTGTCTGTCACAGGAACGCATCATACAGTTCCAAGCAACTCCATGTCCAAAGGAGCCTAATAAAGAAATGATCAATGATGGAGCTTGCTGGACTATTATATCTACTGATAAGGCAGAGTACCAATTTTATGAAGGAATGGGACCAGTAAGGTAATTCCCTTTTAATTTTTGTATTGCTCCTTAATATATTTATCACCCTAAGTTTTAATGGGCACCTTATATATGCAGACTAAGCCCTAACAGTTGTCCTTAATCATGAGTATACATTATATGAAAAATGGCCTGTGTTATACACCTCTCTCTACTTTTACCTGTGGCTTCACTTGAATATATGTCGACTTTATCAATCATTTTTTCTTTGATGAATAATATTCTATTTGCTTTTTAGACTATAATCTGTGTGCCAAATTTCTGTTAAACTGTTCTGGCTCAATTGAGTAGCCATACATCCATTCTCACACACTTTATAATCATGTATATAGTTAATTACTGTTTAATTACATTTTGTACCCCTATTTTACTATTTTTAACCGTCTACAAAACTTATACTACGTGTCATCTTCAGCTTCGTAACTTTAACTATGAGAAAACGCGTATAGTCCGTTTAAATTACCTAGTCAGTCAATTTAGACAGGTGAATTTCTAGTATTTAGTAGCTACGTATTTTTTATGTACCTACCTAAATACATTTTCTCTTATTTAGAATTGATGCCGTGTGTCTACCTTATTACAGTGTTTGTAGGTGGTATGTAGGTATAATCAGTAAAAGGATAAAAATACACTAGAAATTTTAAAATGATGGTGTGAGTTTCGGGTTCGGCTGATGTGCCTAAATGTGCCTAAAGACGGCCTTTTTTATCATAAAAATGGGATAAACAACATAAATAATAATTTTATACCAATATTACTAATTAGCCACTATTTAATACAGGTACAATACATTACGTTAAATACATTTATTCTCATTTATCTATGTTACGTTTTTTGACTTGGATAATATTAGAAAAGCAGGTCTTTTCCTTAGTTTCTTCGTGTTGATTGCCCGATTCTAAATGGCGTAGCGAAATGTTTTATAGTTCAAAACCTTTCTTAACTAATAAACTAACCAGCATAAGGTTTTTTTAACTGCTAGTTTAGATTAAATATTAGCGCGTTTAAATAAATAGACAGATAAAATAATCTCAGCTTTATTCTATTTGTATATATTGGTTATTGGTTTAATACTGACGATGAGCAACTTTGAAAATACCGATAAGCATATGTAGAGACTACACCGACAAAAGATTAAGAGCCGAAAACTAATATATCTATACTGTTACGTCTATGCAATAACGAGGATTTTCCTAATTTTTTACCAGATTGAAACTTTAACTTAAAGTGTTTAGAACTCCAATTCAATTTTATAATAATTATTATATTAAAAATATTAAAATCACCAGCTACCTAAGTTATGTGGTTTTCGCATTAGAAATCCCTGGGAACTCCGTTAGTTATTCAGAATACCTGGTACTGATATCAAATTATATGAAGTGTTACGAAAGTGTTTATCTACACTCATATAGACGGTATTTATCATAATATAGATAATCATGTCATTAAGTGCCTTCTTATCTGGAAATACGTGTCTAATCACAAATGAACCGCTTATAGTTCTATAAATTTAAAGTGACCCACGCGCACGAAAAAATAACAATAAAAGAAAGCTCAGACTTCCCGACAACAGCCAGTTGACATCACGGATGGCGTAGTGGTTTAAGCGGTCACCTCGATGCGATGCGATTCCTACTACGCTAAGTGTTGTGGATTCGATCCCCACAATTTGTGTAATCCTCAGATTGTTTTTCTGAGTCTGGGTGTTCTTTGTGTCCGTTTCATGAACATTTGAAGTCCTCCGCGTCATAGGATATATTCCTAGTGCGGAACCTGTCTTTTCATAAAAGTTTCAGTTACGCGACCCTGACCTGCACAATCAGACAATATCCCTTTCCTACCAATCCCTTTCCTTCTTATCTACATTTCCTTTCAATAATCTACCAATTTTTCTCAACTAATTCCCAGCACCGGGCACCGGTTGATGGCAATATGCTTGCCCTCTTTTACGTAACTGAGATTAACGAGTAGGCAAAATTTAGGTATTCAATAATCCTCTGTTTATTAAAACCAACCACATAGTGGTGCCAATGCGGGTCTATAACACAGTGTATTACTATCATAAAATAAAAATATTCTCTGTTGGGGTTTCTACTGAGTTTGATTAGCAACCCCACAAACAGATAAAATTAAAGACTGCATGTTCAGAAATTACACAGGCAAATCATTGGAGCTGTAAACATCCTTTTTTATGCATGCATTTTCTTATTAAAGTCAGAAATAATAAACGCAACGAAAAGATCCTTTCTGTTGTTAGAAATAAAATATGTTTTCTTTCTTTCTTTCTTTTTCAAACTCCAAAACTTTTTTAATAATTTCACATTCTCAGATAATAGGATCATAGGATAAAATAGTAAAATATTTCATTTTAAAAATATTGCATAATTCCTGCTGCTGTTAAATTCGTCCGTGAACACAGACCGCCCTCGATTAAACTCACTAAACCAGTGATACACAGTTGTTTTTAATGGTGCTTCGTCCCTAAAAGTCGAAGTCGATGCACTGTTTTTGAGTTAAAATTTTCACGAGTTAAATCCATAGTAATAGAGACATGCAATTTTCAAAATGACGCCAGAAGGATAAACATATGAAAGCTACAAATTGTATTATTCAGCCAAAGAGTTCCATTTTTAAATGTTAAAATTACATTTTTAATATTGTTCTGTAACTGGCCAGTTTCGAAAACATAAATAGCAGCCCTTGTAATAATGTATGTATGTATTTCACAAAATATTTTTATATGTGTTTATTTTGCGGTGATCATTTTAATTACAGATATGATAAAAGTTGTTGCTTATATACTCTTATCAGTTGTATTATTATTAATATTTTTCGCATTACTACCGTGAGAATTGATTTAATAAATTTGTCTCATATTTTTTACACAAGTTAACAAATCCAATAAATGTACTTCTTTTCTCTTCCGTGTGGAAACCTCCACGGGTCATAACCTCAACGGTTCTCACGGTGAACTGGTATGTCGGCACGAACCGACCAAAACCACACGGTGTTCCGACTCGAGTATACCCTAGGAAGAAAGTTACCGAGAACCCCGGCAGACCTTGGCCGCCATAGGCCTAATCTAACCAATCCTATAAATATAAAAAGTATCGCCAACTTCAATGAAATGTAATAACTGTTGGTATTTTTCATTCCTTAATTTTTCACCTTCAGGGATTGATTTTTTTACAAAATTGAAAGGGACCAAACGAGAAATATACCAATATAAATTCCCAATCAGAAAAAGGTTTTCCACATTGATTCATAAATAACGAGTTCTAATATAACAAACATTTATAAAATACATCCAAGCTGATAACCAATTTTTTTGTTAAATCGGATAATGAATTTGTTTGCTTATGTACCGGGACTGCCGCGAACTATGCTATCAAATAATAAGCTCAAAATAAAAAATTACTATCAGCATCAGTTGCAAATATTTACTATTGCAAATAGTGAAAAAAAAAAACCATTCCTCACCAGTATAATGTAAATAAGCTCAAACAAACAAGATTTCAGGATTCAAACTTACAGTACCGATAAACGTTAGCAGTACATCAACATCTGAACGCATAGTGCAGGATCCCCTATCTCTTGGCTAAGCCTACTACGGATAGTCATGGTGCAACTATAGTTGCCTTACCAATGAACTCTAAAAACTCAAACGTTTAATTTCTAATAGATACCTAAATAATTTCAGAGCTAATGTTAAATTTTATTCCAAAATCCCAAGAAATAAAAAAGTAATGGAATTTTAAGATGAATAAGACCGTTTCGTTTTATATGCCGTTTGGGCTGTTAGTAAGAACCCAGGGCATAATCCAGCCATATCGCGTTCTCTCTTTTTCACTTTAGTTTCGTAGTTAGTTTCTATTGAAACTAACTACGAAACTAAATCAACATCAGAATATTACGGCTAATAAGTACTCCATAATTAGCACTCCATATTCTAGTAGCATATTTATTATCATTGAATAAGATGCCTAGAGTATCCTACGCCAAACGACATATATAAGACCATAGAACTTGTAAGTCTGGTAACCGTTTAACAGCACGCTGGCCGTCTGCTTGCTTACCAAGTCAGTTGTGTTTAAACAAAAAGCAAAGAAATAATTTCGGTTTGCCTTGCCGCATCATGTTATAATATAGCTATCATAATCATCATTGTAATCCGAAGAGTTGTGTCTATCTGCAAGTTTGATTAGAAAATGTTTCTCTAAATAGATTAGAGCCACTTGGGTGTCACCTAATCGTGTTGTTAGCGTTCCCACAGTGCGCGTTGAGGCGACCGTCCCTGTCCTTGTTGGCTATTTACAGCTAGTTTAATCTATCTTATACGCAACATGTCTTGTTTGAACCTATCTATCGTTAAGCATTTTACGTACATTTGCATCTAGCGTTAATCAGCGCTTCTCGCCTTCAAACGTAAAAGTTTGGCGAGTTTAGAACTAAGTAACAGCTCTGTACTATACAATTTAATTATCAGAATTAAAAAAAACTTGCGTTAGTAAACTTAATAAAACCAAGACGGGTTAGTTATAGCATTTATCGACTAGACCGAATTTTATATTTTTGAATTTGTCTCCGCACAAAAATAGCAAAAAAATATGGAGAAAATTCATTTTCTTATATATTGTGTATAAAACCTTAAACACGGATGAAAAGTAGAGCTGTGACTAAAGGCAAGTGAAACTGCGAAACTACTAACAACCACATAAAATGCTATTTTAAAATTAAGCGAGGTCTATAAAGCTTTTACAGATTACAGATGGAATAAGCGCAGTTGCGCTTATTCCATTATCGTAGTGATGAAAGGTTTGATGCGTTTTAGGTTTCTATATTTTTCCAGGTTTCTGCATTTTTCGGGACACAGTGTAGTTGAAGTCCTAAAGTTTCAAATCATGTCCGACAAATTGTAATAATATGCTCGCTGTCTATTGCATGTTGTTAAATGTAGTAAAACTGGCGTAACATAGGCGCTTTATATCTTCTAAAAAACGTGGAACCTACTAAGATGCATAAAGTATATGTATTTATGTATGTACGTGTGTAATTGTATACGTTAGTTTTATATATTTTTGGATAAACTGTAACCTCAGTGCACCTTACTAGATTTCTACACCACCCAAAGGTTGGTTGGTAGAGAATGCCCAGGGCATTGAGTCCGCCGATGTACATAAGTACATAATTTTTTATTTGTTTATTTATTTATATAGGACAACTTACAAAACAATAATACATAATTTACAAACATGTTTTATAAATATTTTCTGAGTGTTGTCTTACTTACAAGTTGCCACGGCATGGTAAGGGACAGTTGCATCTAAGATTACAATGCAATATCTATAATAATACACAAAACATACAGAAAATCATCGAAATTAATTAAAGACAGTGATGATCTAAGAAGGTCCAAATGACGCAAAAACTTTACTTTTAAATTTTGGAAGACTGTTTGAGAAGATGTCTACATCAATTTTACGATTTTTCGTCAGCTTGTTATACTGGCTTTGTAGTCTATTTATAGTAGCGTTCTGACCCAAGTTGGTTATAGAAGTTTTAATAGAAAAAGGAGCGTATTTATTGGCACGGAGAGACCTTGAGGGAGCATATATATTTTTGTTCTCAACAAATTGGGGCAGTCTAAGTCACCGTTAACTAATTTGTAAAGCAAAATCTAATCCAATAACTGCCTACGATCGGACAAACTGTGGAGATTAAAATGTTTTAAACGACTTTCATACGTCGGCAGCAGTTTTACTTTATTGCACTGGTATGAAAGGTGCCAAAGAAAAGTTGTAAATAAAGAATATAAAGTTGCAATTATTGCAATTGTATATTTCCTTATATGTGTTCACTTCATATGACCATAATGATCATATGAAGACAACACAGCTTGTCTATAGAGACTTAATATGACACGATTACCAGACTTTAATAGAATTTTTTTATGCCTAACCTAACACTACAGTAATCTGAGGCTGGGAGAACGTTATACTATTTCAATAGCTGCGGTAGGAAATTCCTGTTAAACAAATAGATATTAAAGTGTGCGGGTTAACACTTTGTTTATAGCGAGTAGTTTAGGTGCCAAATGATTTCAGACAGAAACAACATCACCCATTTTTTTCCCCTTTCAACCTAGTTGTATTAATATAACTACGAAATGGTTTAATTTCTGTTCATCGTAAATATATATATATAACCGACAACACGCGGGCGAAGCCTCAGGCAAAAGCTAGCATTCTATAAGAATCAAAGTATCTCCATGCCAAATTTGATTTAAATCGATTCCGCGGTTTAGCCGTGAAAGCGCACAGACAGACAGAGTTACTTTCGCATTTATATATTAGCAAGGATATATCAAAGTAGTTTTATACGTTACAAGTTTCCTTTTTTCTATGTAAATATTTTACACATATTAGTAATGCTATCACTTATACACAAATATTGGTATGATAAAGGGTAGAAAACAATTGCCTAGTCAAAATGCCTTAGACTGTTATAAGTACAGTATACTGTTACAGTATAATACTCTTTAGAATTACTCAGCTTGTAGGTTACGGGCGGTTTGAGCTAGAATTCTTTTACTTAAAAAAAGCAAATCCCGCATTACTCGTAGGAATATGTACTGCGTCGCGGGGGATTTTACAAACAAATATGAAACGGACACAAAGAACACTCATACTCAAAACAACAATTTGTGAATCACACAGTGATGTCCCATGTGAGGATCAAACCCACAACACTCGCAGTAGTAGTCCGTGGAGTCAATTCTACTAACTGTTAACAGCTGTTTCGTTTCCAGAACTACAAAATAGAATACTTCCTCAACAGGTCTCCAGTCACGCCAGTACCTCTTGTCCACTCACTAAACCTAAATGGTGGAGGGGACGTTGCAATGCTAGAGCTGGCAGGGGATAACTTCACGCCTTCATTGCAAGTATGGTTCGGCGACGTGGAAGCTGAGACTATGTACCGATGTGCTGAGTCTATGTTGTGTGTTGTACCAGATATCTCGCAGTTTAGAGGACAATGGCTATGGGTTCGTCAGCCAACGCAGGTAACGTAACTATACTATGTGTAATTTGTTCAATACTGACATAGGAAAATGAACCAAACGACTGAAATATGTATCTTCAGAGAAAAATGTGTATCGAAAAATTTCAGTATTAAGGTGATTTGTACATTTATATATACTAGAGATCCCTGGCGGTAGAGTTTCAACCGTTTTGAATGTCTCTTTTTATTTTATTGACCAGTATAACTTGACCTGTCATTATGTAGACTTTGTATCATGACAGATCGAAAGATATACTGGAGCCCTATAACTTTGTGCAACCGTTTTTACGTAATTTTAAACTTAAACAATAACTTAAACTTTGTAAACATTAAATATACAAAATATAAGATGAATCCGTGCGCCACATTGGCTTAAAAAGAAGGATCATAGAATCTTTGTACGTATTAATGTGGTTTCAGTAACTTTATTTTATAAAATAACTATCACTTAAATTGGTCACATTTTATATTAGATGTATTTTTGTTAATGCTGCAAAAACATTTCGGTTCCATTAAGCATGTCACTTTGGGTCCCAGTGGACGACCGACGAACATAAACCACGCAGTAGTGTTAAAAACAACGTTATCTCCCTTCATCCTATTTGCTTATTACTATTTTTTTCAGATACAAGCTTATTTAAAACAATAATATACAAATATACAAAATCGTGTCACTCAATTCCCATGTATATTTTATTAAAAAAATTGTGTACCGGATATTTTGTTATCGTTATAACAAGCATGATATCTAAAACAAATACCGTGTGAAACAATTTGATAGCATTCGGTCACACGCCTGAAGTCTCTTAGATCCCATGAAAAATTGGACATAACAACAATTTGATACAGCAACATTATGAGAATCAAAATATTTTTAGGATTGCATTCCAATGATTCACATACAGGTATCAAAATACTGAAAGCAGCATAGATTGAGTTAAAAAAAAAATGTTTTTTTATTAAAAATTTGAATTTAGAATGCATAAATAGAATCAAAAGTTTTAAAGCAAAACGTGCCTGTATTGTAAACGATAAGGAAGTTTAAAAAAATCTTCATCAATCCCTATGGCACTTTACTGTAGTGATCCGATTATTACCCTCGATCATAGGCTTGGGGTCACCGTGGTAAAGTATCATCTAATAGATCAAGATCATTTCAATTGTGTATATAGCATAGCAGTATAGCACTTCGGTTTCGATCAATAGCAAAAAACATTGTTAGAATTACTAATCGAGCAATGTTAGGAAGGAACTTTAATGTTTATTTTTCTTCTAAATCTTACAATTATTATGATTCGGATATTCTTAAACTCATTTTGGGTTTGCATACTATTGAATTGACACCGAGACGTGAGATACCTATACTGATTAGTAAGGTATCTAACAAAAACCAGTACCATTCATTCACCATCGTCTATATATCTAGTTTCATACTTTTCCGAGCAACGATGCCACAGACAGACGGACCTATAAACAAACCTTATAAAAGTAAATATGTCTGTGTTTGCTTCGGAGTTTAACAATAAATCGATGTGTTCAGTTAAGTATTTATATTTAACTCGACCGATATTGTTTAGATAATTTTCATGAAGGTTTAGTTCAAACATGTAGCTAGTAACTTAGAGTAATTAGACATTTTAAATACTAGCTATGCATTATGTACCTTTTGTCTTTTTGAGACTTGGGTTAATCACGAAGCTAAATATCAAAATATGATAACAGCGAAGCTTTACATGTTATTTTGCACATCGCAAATAAAATGTATAGAAGAATCATACCCGTCATTTGTTATTTTAGGTGATCAATCTTACTGTATCTCACTCATACACCAGATTATTTATGTCTTCGATATTTAGTAGCAAATACCGAAGTCCAAAATGATCTTATGCTTCATGACTGCACAGGTTCTGTGATATGCAAGTGTTGCAAAATGTTCATGAAATAGTTATCTTTTATTCTAGCTAGTATTCTATTCTAGTATTATTGATGAAAAATTATCATACTTAGGAAACTTTTCAACACGCACACAAACTTCAATATTATGATAAATTCAATTGGTTGGTTCAATCATTTTAACTTGTTTCAAATGTTTCCTTACTTTAAAAAGTTACGAAACCGTGCAAAATTATGAAATGTAAAAGTCTAGTCTTATTTATTCAATCGTCAATGGATAGACTTGATTTAAAAGTAGTAAAAAAATCGACATCCTCACGCCATCCTTACGTCCAACCACCGAAATCAGGATAGGTATCATATAGTATCATGCATGGTTTATTTTAATACATATTAAATAATAGACTCTACCATCTAATTAGTTGTAGAAAAAAATCTTGGAATAAAAGTTTATTATACAATTATTATTTTTTACATTAAATAGGGGGCAATCAAGTTTCATACAAAATATATAAGCGGTTATTTAAACCTAATATAATTTAACCGTGGGGGAGCCATTGTCTGTGTGGCGACGGATTAAGAACCCCCAGTTTCAGGACCCCAATTCATCCCGTGGGTGTCGTAAGAGATGACTAAAGGAGCAAACTCTGCTTTACAACATCACTACAAAGAGAAGGAAAACTTGAGACAACACCCTAACCAACCTGTCTGACCAGCGTGGTACAGACAGTAGACCAGAACCACCTTCCTAAGGAGAGGCCTATGTCCAGCAGTGGGTTATTAAAGGCTGTTGATGATGATGAGAACCATGCTTCGACACAAATAGACCGGCTTGACCGGAGTAGGTACTAAATACCACGATCTTTCATATATTTACTAGTAGTATTAGTAGTCACTTACCATCAGGTGATTCATTTCCTCGTTTGTCCCTATATCATAAAAAAAATATATATCCTCGGCCTCGAGTTGTAGCGGCGAACTCTTATAACCTTTTTACCCATTTACTATATGCATTCCTGTTTGGCGTCTCATCATCTCCATGCGTTTCTCATTCGGTTTATTACCTATTATTATTAACCTGCGTATAGATCAAAATAGTTTAGGTAAATTTATCAAAAAAGTTATCTTCTGCCATAAAAAAAAAAACAAATCAAAATAGATCATTCTAAAAATAAACTCTGTTTAACCGATATGACGTAAGTATAATCAAAGCTAGTCATAGTCGTATGCGCTAACGTGTGAATATATAATGCAATGAAAATTGCATAATCACCTGATAAATTATTCTTGCAGCCTTTCGTTTGTACGACTTTCTTGTCTAAAAGTAATATCTGACGTAAAATCGCACTATTTTAAGTACTTACAATTTAAATCTACAATTTGATCTTAAATGTTTGGACTGTAGTTGAAAAAGCAGGACATTTAATAATATTTAAGTTTACACATAAATGTGAGACGACTAAGGGAGAAAACTACGCAGAACAACAGCACTGCAGAGAGAAGGAAAACTTGACACAAACCCTATACCAACCCGTCTGGCCAGCGTGGTATAGTAGGCCAAAACCTCCTTTCTAAGGAGAGGCTTATGTCCAGCAGTGGACTATTAAAGGCTGTTGATGATGATGATAAATGTGAAGTAAACCTTCTAAAATAGAGTTGCTAACTCAAATTGACAGATCTTTCCTCCGCTTCAGGTGCCTGTATCATTGGTGAGAAACGACGGTATAATATATGCGACGGGGCTTACGTTTACGTATACACCAGAGCCGGGCCCTCGACCCGTCTGCCCACCGGTCGACGACGTCATGCGGCCCGACCAGTCCGCAAGCTGGCACCATGAACACAACGCTCACAGGCTACCGGACAATACTCTCCAATAGCCAATGGACTGCAGGCTGGAAGATGACAGTCTGCAGTAACTCGGCAACTCATAAACTTTGTGATGTGTGACTCCAAAGAAGACGTCTGACAAGTGACTTTCCAGTCAATAGATTAGAAAGACGTTCGGTGAGTGATTCAAAGACATTTTGTAATTGTATAATTTCAATAGTGCCTAATTTCTATACATCGTACCGTGATCTAAGATAATTTCCTATGTATATAAGGAATTAGGGACATGAAGTGATCTAGATTTCAAATAATTTTCATTTTACTGAGTCAGTCAGTGATTTCGCTTCTTTGTAGGCAATATAATCGACTTTATTTCTATGCCACTGACTTCTTTAAAACTATTACGATTTTTCATATCTCTGATTCTACTGATGATACATTTGTGTTCGAATGTTATTTAATTGGGCAATTTATAAACTCTAGCCTTTGGTTAATAAATGAGCGTGAAATATTTTTACAACTAATATTTAGTTAAAAAGGAGGCATTCTATTGCATATGCTTAGCTTATGAATTTAACGCCGAAATTATACATTTTAACATTAATTATGTACTGGCGATATTTTCACAAGGGGGAAGTGATCAATCTCGTGATGTATGTGCAATATAAAAACCCAAAGGTTCTGGGTTATCATATTAATACTTATTATGTAGCGGTATCAATAAGTTTTATATAAGTGTCGTCCTATATTATGACGTTTTAAAGATCATGTTAGTGGTATATCATAGAAGATATAGTGACCATAGTAGTCGATCGCTTTGTTCAAAAAGCTTGAGACTGCCTGGTATGATTGGGCACGAATTCGTTGGCCTAATATATTGTATGTACATCTAGGAGATTATGACACCAAAACTATAAATGAGAATGAATTACCGTTAGAAAAAAATGTAGCACTTTGCTGCGCAGACTGGATAGAGTACACCAAATAACAGCGCATCTTTTGTATAGGTTATTTTCAGAAATTCGATTTTATTGTAATTATTATCATCGCATTTTAATACATATTGAGATTATATAAATACTTTACTTAATGGGGCTTTACATACAATAGTGTATACAAGCCTACTTCACCCGTTTTACAATCAACAGTTCCAAAGTTAGCTGATTGAAATTACTTTGAATTCGTTAATAATTTTAATGATATGCTAATTATTAGCTTAAAATTATTTTCAGTAATTTATATGGTAGATAGACAGATATTTATACTGCACACTATACATTTTTGGATTTGTAATGGTACCACATGGTATATTTTTTTAAACAGCAACATCTAGCCGGCTAACGTGTTGCTCTCATTAATAATTTGTAAATGTTATTAAATTATAACGTTAATTGCTAGTCTATAAAATAAAATGGTTTCATAAAATTTTCAATCGATTCAATGTGCTACAGAAGCCGCTATTTGCAGTAATTGCCAACCATGTCAATAAGAATGTTGGTATACTGACGTAGATATACAGGGAAGTAGTTCCTACTCCGGCATTTAATACACCAATATTAAAATTAGTTTGCTCATCATCCTCGTCATATGCCTCTACCATACATTGGCTTACCCGTAAAAATAAACAAAAAAAAAAGGCATAAACCGTAACAATTACTTTACATATATAGTTATTTAAACTGTGTATTATAATAAATCATGTTATTTTCTCATTTCTGAGGTACGATTCATATCGAAAGTTAAAACTAACAAAAAAACATTTGATTTAATGCAAAAAAAAAATATGATGACAAAATACCCAAAATACTATTGCGTTGAGCCTAATCGTGCATACACATCCTGTTTTGTTGAACATATTAGAACAGTAGTTAGTCCGGATAACATTAGCTTTCCTAACACAATGTGTGGAGGAGGCAATTAAATAAGATCTCTCTGCTCTTAGAATTGTTTCCTTGGGGCCAAATAATTGTAATATCCATGACAAGTCATTGCGTTTATACTATAATACTTTAAAAACATAAGTTTTAAATACATTTAGGGACAAGGAGGTTGAACTCTATGAGATTGTTTTAGGCGTGATTTTTATTTTATTGATTTGTATAAATTAAGTATCCTAGAGAATTAATCTTACAAATACGTTAGAGAAGAGCCAAATAAGTTCACTTAATTATCTGAGTAATTGTAATTAATTTAATAAAAACGTAAACAATTGTTTGCCTTTTTCGGAAAACAGATAATTGTACATAAATTCTATTACTTTATACATCATTTACATACCGCAAGCTTGGGTTGCATTGACCTTAAGGGATTTGAATCAAATTGTCAGTTCTTTTATTTTCACAATAAACTGAGCGCCATCAAATTATTGTGCTGACAGATGCATCTGTTATTAAATTTCTCTACCCTATTAGCGAGAAAGTATTTATATGGATTTTAGACATTCGATTTGAATTGATCGAATTCACACATATATTATTAGATATGTAGCACCTTAAGTGTCAATGTATTCCAACCTAATAAGTCACTTTAAAAGTTATGAATTTTTAACATCTAAGTCTGTAAAAATCACAAACAATTGTTTTCAATTTTATTAAATTTGTTCTAAACAGAGCACAGTATTTCTCTGTCATACATAAACTTTTATAAACCTGCTTGTTTGCTTTTGTAAGTGAAAGTCAATCCGTCTCAATGTATATGCACAATTTATCTAATCGCTACATCGTTAGTGACGATTGTAATAATTAATTCACATTAAAGACACTCGGATGTCACTGTACGTATGTATATTTACGGAGATTTTAAACGAACAATACACGTAGTTATTAGTTAGAATTAGTCCATAGCAGTTTTATCTGCACATCAAATGCGCTATGATATTACAAAATGGCTGCTATGTAATATTTATACATAATATACCTATTATACCGAAATCTCAATCAATGATTAGGAATTGTTCTAAGCTATAATGTCGTCTACAATAATAGTAAGTTCGTTGCTTAGTCTACAAAACTATTTTGTAAAAAAAATATGACGTAAAATTGATTGAGAATCAAATATCGTTTGTTTAATATGCGATGGTAAACATGTATTATAAGTATATGATTTATTAAAAGGTTCATTTCACATTGTTCATTTGAAACGTAATATCTTAGCGCTACATTGTAAAACATTTGATGTGTTGATTTCGCCTAAAATACTGTTAAAGAAATAAAAAAATTATTTATTATATGCCAATCTGATTTTTGTTCAAAAAGGATTGTTAAAAAAAGGATTTGATGTGTATTTTTAATGAAACGTGTGATTTCGAACATTCCATGTGGAAAGTGTAATAAGAAGTACAAAAAAATATCAATATTTTTGTAGCAAATCAAATTACGATATAATCTTAATGGAATTGGTAAAGTTACAGTATTACAAGGACATTAGTATTAATCTCGACGAATGAATAGACAGTAATATTGTCGTCAATTTTTGTAAAAAGAAACTTTAAATATAATGTAAATGATTTGTCATTTTAAAAACTGTTTACTCCTTTTTATCATTTTACATTTGGTATTTCTATATTTGGAAATTGTCATATTGATGCGGTGACTGCTCGGCAAATATTGTGAGCGTAAGCGTGCAACTTAAAAAGATATACCGAGCAGTGAAACTGAAATATGAGTAAATATTTTTTAATAAAATTGAATTGAAATAACAAAGATTTTTATTAATTAATTTCCCTACACCAGCCGAAAGATTATAAAAAAAAGGTGAGGATGTATATCTCTACACGTTCGGATTTTAATTTTGTTTACGAAAGTCTTTCATGTTATGCAGCCTAAGTTACAGCTTAGCACTAGTCTACAGGTTAGCAAAACATTTACCAATATATAGATTTTCTTCTGTTTTTAATGGTACAATGTATTGGTTATATTTTAAGAGTACAACAAGTTTTATTCATAACGTCAACACTTAGCGCGTCACTGACGGCTCTTATAAAATTGTTCCCACCACTGATAGTCTACAAATATGCATAATGTGTTTAATGATACAAACATAACATTCTTTTTTACCTCGTTTTAGACATAAACTTCTCACAGTAGAGCAGTTTTGCGTTAAACTGATTTCATTACCTTATTTCTCATTGTTTTAATTAAAACGGAGGGTTCAAGTGTAATTATCTACTTATGAATCAGTGTTAATCGAGGAATCAGTGCTCCGCTCAGTCTGTGGGAACGTCTTCAAAAAATCTTCACATGATATTAACAAGTGTCTTCCCCTACATACCGTTCCGCAACGCTGGCTCTGACGGTCTGACCTCAGATATAATTATCACAAGTTTATACTCATTCCGCCATTGTTCGATGCTGAGATTCACTGCTTTATATTTTATGACATGTTTTCGAGTATAACTTCGGTTGTCATACCATAAATTGGTAGGTAATTGAGGCAATTGATCTTCGATTTAAAGGGCACGTCAGCACTAAGTCACTACAGTGCAAAAGCAAACCGTATTATGCAGTGATGACGAGAATCTCTAACTCCATAGTCCATAAAATAATATGTACATGCAAGTAACGACATAAGAGATTGTTCAATAGCGACTAATCGACATGAAAACTGAATGAAGAACTACGGATTAGATGAATCCAATAATCACTAGTTTTACCCACATCCTGTTTGTTTCTGTCTTCCAATTAGTTCTGATAATACCATCGCAAATATATCAGTAGTCGCGGGTCATTTTTATTATTATCATATCAAACAGGATCTCAGTAATTTAATTTAACATTCTTTAGTTCCAGTATTCTTATGGCAGGTAAATATTACGAAAAGACCTTCGTATAAAAATAATTAATGATCTGGTTGACCTGAAATAGACAAACAGCTGAAGTACCTTCATGTGCGTGTGCACTGCAATAGAATTTGACACTAGACGTTCTATTCTTTGCGGAGCTGACTCCGAGCTGATGAGATGGTTTCACTACCAAACGTCTCTGAGTGACCTTAGTATAAATGCGGCACAAAACCACGTACTATCGATGTAATTGTTGGTAAAAGTCTTAGC